CGTCCTTTAAAATGTTTTAATTTTATAATACCGCACAAATACGACCAAGAAAATAATAATATGACACTTAAATACATTTCATACAGTCATAATAGAAAATATAGCTCTTTAACAATTAGTATACAGAAGTACGCGGTCATAAAGCAGGAATTTACATATTTTTCTTTCTATGTTTTACAGCACATTTTAAAAATATGTATCGTATATTGTTTACTCATTTACTAAGACAGTACGTTGCAAATAAAGTATTATGTTTCTATGTATTTAACGAAGTATCTTGAGATCGACAGTAAACATGTTTGTTCCGTGTTTCATAAAATACAAAGAATGGAAATTCTTCATCCAAAAAGATGCCTGAATGACTAAGAGCACATAATTTAAAAATAAATCTCTTGTATTAATCCAGGACTTTTCGAATATTTTCTATTAAATTTACGTAAAAAGTAAGAAAGGTAAAAAAGTATAAAAAGCCAAAGTAAGAAGATTTATTTATTTACTTATATAATCTTAATTGATACGGATCTTAATTATCTAAAGATTATTTTTAAAATTGTTTTTAATAAAAGTAAAAAGAGAAAAAAGGATATATAGTTGATGATATTTTTTAGTTTATAATACGCCATAGTTTGGATGTTATTACTTTTCAAGTCTATTTCAGGATTGAATAAATCAATTTAATTAATTCATAAATGAAAAATTTCAATGTAAAAACATTATCAAATATAAATATAAACATTTAAAAAATGTATTTTTAAATTCAAAATAAGTTATTAAATATTTATAAAGTAATTGAGTAATCACTTGTCATTGTAAAAGTCAAAGTCAATGATCATTCGAAAAATTAAAAATTGGAAGCCGGAAATAGGTTTAAAAAAAAGAGTAAAAATTGTTGTTCAAATAAATGAAATACTGCAATATTAAATTAGGAGCAAATTTTCTGTATAAATACAGAAAATTTGCTCCTAATTTTATATTTCTAGTTTTAAACTAAGAGAATGATAATGATGGTAAAGTAAGGCAGGGAATAATGTCGAAATTTATGCTTAAATTTATAAGAAAATTTAAAATTTTATCATTTATTGAAATTAGACTTGTACATTTTTTAAAAATATTAATTAAATATCTGAAAATTCTGATGATAATATAGATTTTTTGCAACAATTCACTCGGGTATTCGTGCTGAAAACAATGAATATCTGAATATTGCAAAAGAAATGCCTGAAAATGCTCAAACATTTAATGCTTCAGTTCAGAAATGATTCTCAAATATTCATTGAATATCTGTAAATATTGAAGAATATCTAAAAATATTCAGATATTCTTTTTCTCAAATTTCAGAAAAGGTATTCATTTTTTCTGTATTCAGATTTTTATGTTGAATAGAACGAAAAGATTGTTCAAAAATGCCACAAATATTCTTCACAAGTATTCAATGCTTCAATTCGTATAAACTATTCATTTTGAAAGATATTTGAAAATGTCTTTTCTCAAAATGAACTTCATTAAAATGAAAAAATTATGAAAATTTCAAAAAGTTGCTCTTCTGTAAAAATTATTATACATAAAATATAATTAAATTATTAATATATAGAAGCCATTTTACTTACTTTTAACGTTAAAAACGCTAAAAATATGGAGAAATTCATCATTATGATTCCTGAAAGTAATATCTTCCTAATAACAAACCTACAATAATGTAATACTTTGTTAGGATGGAAATTTTATAATAAATTTACCAAATATTTATTAATTTTATAACTTAACATTACTCTTATGAATTATTAGTTTTACATTAATAGATTTGTTAATATTATTATTAACTTAAGTTAAATAATTTTAATTTTATAAAAGAATTAACAATATAAAAGATTTTTAAAATACTATACATTTTGCAAATTTAGTACAGAATTTTATAAGCAGATGGCGCCACAAACTTGTGACCGATTATATTTATTTATAGAAGTGTATAATTAAAATATTTTTTAAAAATTTATGATAATTTTACATTCTTAATGCACGTTTTTACGTAATAATTTTCATATTAAAAAAAAATTTTTAAATCTACATTAATTACAATCCGCCATCTTTAAACGTACTTCGACTCGTAAAGAAAACCATTATTTATAAAATATAATAATTAATAAAAATAACAACTTACAAATATAATTTCGAACATTATTTCTCTCACTTTTAAACATAAATTATAGCATCTAAGAGTATAAATTATTTTTTAAATCGTTTATAACTTAGACATATCAATCCGTGATTCCGGACGATTACAAATACAATAAATAATATAATAAAAAAGTCTCATTAATTAAGGATTTTTTCATAACTTTTACATCCAATGAAAGGCATTAGTTGCGGTTTTATACGAATATTTCTGCAGAAGACCCTATAATTTAACAACATCTGAATAAAATGTTACCAATTTACATGATCATTTATATTCTGATAGATGCTAACACGTAAGCTTCTTCTGTTGATAATTTTTTCTCTTTTTTTTCAAGTTTCGATCTCAATTCTGTTATTATAAAATATAAAATGAGTGTTATTATATAAAACGCCCGGCACCATATTATAATTTGTGTGTAATAAGAGATATGACCCCTTATCTACTTTAATAACTAAGGACCACAATTATCCAAAGAAATCTATTAACATCGTGATTAAGAAGATAAATGGAAACGAAATTTAAAACTTGTTGACGGCTAAGAAAAGAATTTATTTAATGACGTGTGTAGAGTTATTTCTACTATTAACAAATTACCATCGGGATAATTATTTTCAATACTTAGAATATATAAAAAACTGTTTAATAATCATTAGTTGCATTAAAAGTACATTTAATTTTTTCTGGTCTAACGTGAGACTTAGCAGAAGAAAAGGAAGAAGGGGGGAAAGTAGAAGAAGAAGAATAAAATATGACTAGAGGTCGGAAGTTTTGGCAATTGTTAAAATGGAAAGCAGGACTCAATGGAATTTTCACACATGATCGAAAATCTGGTCACACCCTTTTGGGTGTGGCACTTTTTGACAATAAAAAACATATTGACGACTGCTAAGGTGTGTTCCTAACGTGGTGTGTGGTAAACGGAAAACTCGAGGATATTCAATACATTCATATCGCACGGTTTCGTATCGTTAGATAGACAAATAAATTGCTAAGATCGGAAAAATTCGTACGTTACAATCGAGTCGGAGGCGAAAGCGCATTTAACATTCTTCTCATTAACATATTGTGTCTTCAGCAATCTCCTACAATGAGATAAGTTCAGATGTCATATTCTGACTGCTAGACTTCATTTATCACCGTATATTTGTTATTGACCTTTTATGCAAAGATGAAAAATTGGAAACGGTGATAGGGGTAAAATCGGAAGAAACAAAACCTGATGTTCTGGAAGCACACCTGGGAAATTTTGGTAGGCAATGAACTCTGTTAAGAAAGACGAAAGCCCTTGGGATATATACCTCGCCCCTTCGGATGAACTCATAGCCTTCAGCCAAAAAAGAATTCGTGTCGGTTCGAAACCGGTTGAAAATGCATCGTAAAAGAGTATTTGGGCTTTTGCATCTTTTAAAGATCAATACTCATCTAAAATAAAAGTTATCGTCCATCATTAATAAAAATCCTACAGAAAAGCGCATTGTAACAACTCATTCGCGTCTATCGTCTTATCTTAAATATATCACTAAGTATTTTAATTTAATTTTTTAATTTAATAATTATAACTAATTTATTTTTTTAAAAAAACATTTAAGTTTTTCTAGAGTAATTCGGTAATGTCGCCAATTCATCAATGAATTCATTATAAAAAAATAATTAAATTTACGTAAGAAATATACTTATTCATTATTCTAAATATATTTTAAATAATTGATATTATTCTTAAAAGATTATTTAAATTATTAATATAAATTCGAAGCGCCAATGTATCCTACCTTCATCACCAAGTTACGTACTAAACTTAATTATACATCAGAATAACATTATAAACTTTCGAGTCATTGTTTAAATTTTCTTTAAATAAGTTTTTAAAGGAACAGAACGGAACTTCCGCATTGAGTCCAGCAAGCACCTGGACATAAAATGTTATTGATAAAAAGTTGACTTATGAGTATGGAAAAAGAAAAAAAAAATTATAATTGATGTCTTCGTGTCGCACGTGGTCAAGATGATGAGTTTGGAAAATAACTAGTTAAATATTTTCCCATTTTTACGCAATACATATATTTACATAGTAATACATTCAATAAATAACACGACTAAACGAATTACATTAATAATTATTTAATAATAGGAAAAATTTAACTTAATAATAATTTAGGAAAATTATAGAAAAAAATAGCACTGAAAATAAATTATAAACTAAACTTTTGAAAGTTAATAATTTTCAAGTTTCGTATCTGTCTCGCCAGAGGGTGTTAGAGACGCGATGCGGTAGGTCGAAGCATGGATTGCAGCACGTGATAGAACGTCTTATAATTTCGCTACGTACCAGAGCATTAATATCATGATATACAATTTATAATGGCCGAAAATATTAATATAATTTCAACGATCTCTTATGTGATAAGTTTAGAAACTAGTGAGATTTTTTTTAAGTTATAAGAAAGTATCTGTTGATGGGATCAATCTATTTCTATCTAGTAACACGTGCTAGTCACGTGTATTGTAATGGACACCCTGCGATGTTGTCAAAAGAGTGAGGCCAGCGTGTAACGGGACACCCACATATTCCCTATTGTTATTGATGAAGATCGTATTAACTATGCTATTATCCAATCTTACTAACGTAACACTAAAGTAATAAATAAGAAAAAGGAAAAAATACCTCTTACTCATTTGCGATTCTTCGAACGTTTTCGTAGCTTTAAAGATGACTTTTCTGGTAGATGTTTTAGTTTATGAACCACATCGCCGAACGCTACTTAAATAAATTAAACGGCTTCACTTTTATATACAATATTTGAACTTTATTGCGCTTTACTATCGATATTTTTTAAAGTGTCGAGTGGTAAGTTGAGCGTGAAATTTTTCTTTCACTCCTTACCTTTAATGAGCTTCTTCTTAATTCGGGTTCATTCATTAATTTATGACTTAAGTACAAACTCGACTGCTGAGTAAAAAGCCTTCGGAGACTGCTAGTCACGTGACTAGTGCGCGGGAAATGCACGAGCTCTGGCGGACAGTAAATGCATTCGCTGCTCCAGACCTTCGCTACACATAATGGAGAATGTGCTACAATGCATTGTTATCACATTGACTTTCATTTATCAAATTCAAGCATTCTTCGGGTAAGTTTTTTTATTACTATTTTTTTAAAACTTATAATTTATAAGAACTTTTTAAATTAATAGAAAGTTCTCCTGTGTTCTTCTTTAATAAAATTAAATAGCGCATGTTCCGTTAAACGTTTGAAACACTATTAAAGCAAGAAAAATGTCATTTTAATTAAATTTTAAGCAATTAAAACACAGAAATTTTTTTATTTTAAAGTTGTCAACCAAACGAAATTTTCTTTAATTTATTGCATTAATTTTATACAAAATTGTAGTCAAAATTTCTATAGTAAGTGACACTCGATAAAATTTATATTAATTAATAAAACAATTGATACATAAAAAATAATTCAATTAATATTCGAAAAACGATTAGAGTAAATGAAAATATAAGAAATTATTTTGTCACGATTTAAAAGTTATCGTAGGTTTTAAGACATGTTATTGATTATATGCCAACAAAATTTGAATAATAGCATTTTTTTAAGCGTGAGAAAGAAGAAATTGCAAAATGTTTTTAATTGTTCACGGGAAAATGTTTGGTACCAAAGGTCATTTAGCACTTATTTTACCATAGGCACTTGTCAACAATGTGGGGAAACAGGTAAATATTTGATATGTTCAATTTACTCCGATATGTCAAATAGAAAAAAAAAAGAGAGAACTAGTATTCTATTTATTAAACTCGCTTGTTACTACATTTATAAACAAGGTGGTTATCAAAAAAGTGATCATTATCGTGTATGTAAGTTAAAGGAAGAAAAATTTTATATAATTTTCTTTAATGATACGAATCAAAATTATATAAGAGCTTAATTACATTCTCGTTAATAATAATTTTAAATACAACGTATTTTTTTATGTATATATTTTCCTTGCTTTTATAAAGATTGACATCCAAGACGATCCTCCCGGATTTATCAAATTGCGCATTACAAAATAGCAATACTAGTCGCTTTTGCGACATTTTGGTGGCTCATAGGAAACTGTACAACTTTTATCAGAAAGAAAAAGCATTGGCGGATACTTTAATAAATTCCATTCAGTTAAGTGCATTGGAATGCGAAAGACAATTCGAGTATCATCGTTGGAATTGCAGCATCGATTCTGTTAGAATAAATTTACTTAAAGAAGGTGAGTCTTTGTAATAAAATGCCAAGTACTAAGACTTTTAATTCTTTATTTCTCTTCTTTTCTTGAAACTTTATGCTAAATAAATATTATTACAGAATGTAAATAAACTAATCTTTCTTCTTAACGAACTCTTAAAATTGAAATGCATATATACAGCATATATAGTTTATACGTGTATATATCTAATCATTATGTTGGTAAGACGAGCAGGAAAAACTGAAAAAAATAAACTTATTCATTGCCTAATTATTAATTCATGACATTTATTCCGAACACAATGAAATCTTGTGTCGTTTAGTATAAACAGAAAAATCCCGAATGCTCTACAATATGACGTGACCAACTTCAACAAGTGGCTGATGTACATCATTTGCTTAATGCCCCGGGTAGTGTTCTTATCTTGCCTAATACGTGACTTTGTCGAGAATCTGAGTGATTTTTTTAGTCTTTTAAATCCTTTAGCATTTTACTTTTTTCTTCAATTTTGATAAGTAAATCGCCGCCATTTTATATGTATTTTTCTAACTTCTCCCCTCTCTTTATCTCTTACCTAATTAATATTATTATTATTATTTTAATGTTAATATATTTTCTCCTGATGATATTTAAATTTATATATAAATATACTTTGTTTTTATAAACAATAGCTTATCCAGAAACGGCATTTTTATATTCCATCACGTCTGCTAGCTTAGTTCATACCGTTGCTCGTGGTTGTAGTAGTGGCAAGTTAAGGCATTGTACGTGTGACGAAGATACTTTCAACGCTACAGAAAATAAAAAAACTTGGTTATGGGGAGGATGCGGCGATAATGTGAAGTTTGGAGCTAGATTTACTCGTAAGTTTCTATTAACTCGATGGAAACACGCCAAAGATCTAAGAGCACTTATCGAAAGGCACAACAGTGAAGTTGGAATAAAGGTAATAAATAATTCAATTTTTCCCCAAAAATATATATATAATTTATTGTAGAATTAAACAGGGAGAAAGTTGTGTTAATTGTAAATAAATTTATAAGAATTTACAAGAAATAACTGGCATACCATTCGTCGTTTTTATGTTTTCCCATATGTCTGTAATATACAGACACAAGGTAGATGGTTATCAAAAAAGAGGTGTCAAGCTAATTACATCTTTCAAGTAACACGAGGACGGACGAAGCCAATTAGTCCTAGCAGGAGGTGACAAGCTGATGGCTTGCCATTCAACTGCCATTTGTTCTTGACTTTTGTCTGCCCTTTTTCCTGCTGAGAAGTGCTTCTATCACCTGATGCTTTTTTTTTTCTTTATCTGTGACTGAAAATTGTTAATTCGCTTAGATTTTTTTCTACTGAATAATTTTTTATGTTTAAATTGTTCATTTTCAATTCCTTATATATCCAAATACATTTATAAGTATTCATTTTTAATATATTAAGTCATACAAATATACTTTTATTCGCATATCTCTTTAAGAATTCTTTCGATAAAATATAATATCAATTATGTCCATTAAAAAAATAAGTTTTTCAATGTATAAGTATGAATATTTATTATGTTTATGATTATTTAATGGAAGATTTATGCTAATTATATGGTAGAGAAAATGAACGTGTTCATTAGTTTGATTAAATGTATTAAATTAATACAAAATTTTTTAAATAAAAAAAGTGTTTTGCTATTTTTTAAATTTTTATAATATTATTTGGGTATTTATAAGTTCGATTGTAAAATTAATTCGTAAAATAAAAATGATTTTTTATTATTTAGTTTTAAGAATTAACAATAGATGGAGCCACACTTCTTTAAACTCATTCAATTTTTTTTAACCTACTTATAAAAAATTACACAATTTAAAGCGTTAAATTCACTTATTTTTAAATTATAATTTACTATAAATTATTTTTATAGAATTAAGCATAAATAAATAAAATATCTTAAATTTTGCTAAACATTGAACTTAAAATATTAATATTTATTGTGTATGTTTATAAATTGTAATATCAAATTTCAGTTTTTATTGCATACGATTTCGTGTGTCTAGCAGGTGGTGCGTAGGAATGTTTTAAAAGTATGCAAATGTCATGGAGTATCGGGCTCGTGTACTGTAAGGACATGTTGGAAACAGCTTTCGCCATTTAATATCATCGGTTCTATTTTAAGACGTAAATATTTGAAATCAACAAAAGCTAATGTCGGAAACGATGCTGCAATTGGAAGGAGTAAGTTGAAACGTCAACGTCAAAGGCACAAGATGGAGAAGTGGAGACTGAGAAAGAGAAAAGAAGAAGCTTATAAGAAACTTGGGATATTTGATCGTTCTGTTCTTCTATATTTGTCAGAATCTCCAAACTTTTGTAATTCTGATGATTCTTGGCCAGGAACTAAAGATCGAAGATGTCGACGTGGAATCAATTGCGACACTTTATGTTGTGGTCGTGGTTATAATTCTCGTGTTGTTGTGTCCAATGTTTCGTGTAAATGTCGCGTTGTTTGGTGTTGTACCGTTCATTGTCATCTGTGTCAAGAAAAAAAAGATGTCTTTACCTGTAAATGAATAATGATTTTTTTAGTATAATGTACAGCGATATCTATATTAATAAAATATTTTAATTATTTTAAAAATTATTATGTTATTCTCGTATAAATTTCTAAATATACTAAAAAAAACTTTATTAGTTTAAGATTTAAATAAATAAAAAAGTGATCATTATCGTGTATGTAAGTTAAAGGAAGAAAAATTTTATATAATTTTCTTTAATGATACGAATCAAAATTATATAAGAGCTTAATTACATTCTCGTTAATAATAATTTTAAATACAACGTATTTTTTTATGTATATATTTTCCTTGCTTTTATAAAGATTGACATCCAAGACGATCCTCCCGGATTTATCAAATTGCGCATTACAAAATAGCAATTCTAGTCGCTTTTGCGACATTTTGGTGGCTCATAGGAAACTGTACAACTTTTATCAGAAAGAAAAAGCATTGGCGGATACTTTAATAAATTCCATTCAGTTAAGTGCATTGGAATGCGAAAGACAATTCGAGTATCATCGTTGGAATTGCAGCATCGATTCTGTTAGAATAAATTTACTTAAAGAAGGTGAGTCTTTGTAATAAAATGCCAAGTACTAAGACTTTTAATTCTTTATTTCTCTTCTTTTCTTGAAACTTTATGCTAAATAAATATTATTACAGAATGTAAATAAACTAATCTTTCTTCTTAACGAACTCTTAAAATTGAAATGCATATATACAGCATATATAGTTTATACGTGTATATATCTAATCATTATGTTGGTAAGACGAGCAGGAAAAACTGAAAAAAATAAACTTATTCATTGCCTAATTATTAATTCATGACATTTATTCCGAACACAATGAAATCTTGTGTCGTTTAGTATAAACAGAAAAATCCCGAATGCTCTACAATATGACGTGACCAACTTCAACAAGTGGCTGATGTACATCATTTGCTTAATGCCCCGGGTAGTGTTCTTATCTTGCCTAATACGTGACTTTGTCGAGAATCTGAGTGATTTTTTTAGTCTTTTAAATCCTTTAGCATTTTACTTTTTTCTTCAATTTTGATAAGTAAATCGCCGCCATTTTATATGTATTTTTCTAACTTCTCCCCTCTCTTTATCTCTTACCTAATTATTATTATTATTATTNATTTGAAAATATATTCTCTTTAGTTTTAAAGAAAATTTATTATTAATGGAAAATCTTAACGGATGTATATTTAAATTGCAAGATTATATATATTAAATCATTTATTATTTATGAAATTTATGTTATAATGGATGGAAAACATCACTTAATCTTCCTTAAACTCATAATTTCTATGAAGAAAAGTAATGGCGTCGTGTCGACTGGAGAAGAAGGAAAAAAAGCGAATAAGAGTTAATGCGATGTCTTACGTTCTTTATCAAACCATATTTAATTTAAAAGTGAAAATCAGAGGTCAGGTAGTGATTAGATGGCGACTGGTCTTATCTTATTGTCCAACACCGCCGGTGGTCAGGTAATGATTAGACAGAAGTCAGCAGGTGGTGGAATCTAGTATCGTGAGAACATCTTTAAAGCCAGAGGGAACATTGGTAAGCTTATCTGAAGCAAATCCGTAAATTTGAAAATAGCATTTGCTACTATACAAATAGATCTGTTTCAGTACAAGAACTTAATAGACTTTTCTATATAAGTTAGAAGAAGATTTAGCTCGATTCGGAGTTTTCCTTCCATATTTGCTGCTTTATACGGCTATAAGTATATAGAAATCTAAGCTGGATAATGAGACATCATCGCTATAATTGGTTAAATTCCATTATTAAGCAAAACAAAGGGGGAAAAAATAATAATATTGTTTACAACCGCATTATCGATTACCACCTAATGTATGGTATTAGTTCTACTGGCTAATTTTGGGCGTTACGGTAGTGATCCGGTTCTGGCACAGGAACGCTTTTTATTGATTTAGATCTTTCAAAAACAGCTTTTACTTGTCCGCCCGTAATTTCTTGCAAGGATATCGTCATCAACCTAGCGAGGCCTCCAATAATTACGCTAACCGCCGCCTGAGGTACCAACTATTGCCCCAGGATAAACATAAATCTGGCTAGTGTGCGGTAATTACACAGCTTGCTTGACATCCGGGCTCTATGCATCCTCGTAGCTGGCCTTACCCGGGGTAGGCGGGACATTGGGACCGTATTATCACCCATCGAGTCGTCACGAAGTCCATAAAAACATCGCCTACTGTGCGAACTAGCTAATGGAACTGAACTCACTTCTATCATCCAGATGTGTTCTCACAGTCGAAAGACTTTAAATCTGCCAATCAGCGACGATTAAACACGTCAACGAGATGGTTATAAATTAGTTTTATATATTTCTTTGCCAATTTCGTTCTACAAGCTTATTTAGTGATGGAGACGTTTATAACACTTTCCTCTTAATTCGCTATTCTTTATTGAATAAGAAGAATCGTCTATCGTATAAATTGAAGAGAATATTATTCACCCCGTCTTAAAGCTATTCCGCTTTAAATTAACTATTCTTTTTAAATTAAATATAACATAACTCAATTAAAATTTCTTAAGGTATTAATTATCATAGAGAAAAACGTTCTCCTTTATCAATTATTTAACATACGGTACTGTACATTTCGTTGTAAACCTTTTATTTCTGATTTTATGTTAACATTTTGTTTGAAATGATGTAAAATTGTATGAATTTTTTTTTTTGTTTTTGTCTTGTTTTATCATTTATTATTTTACTTTTCAAAATTTTTATTTTATTTTAATAAATCATAAACATCAATTAACTTTTCAGAACATATTAAACTAATTTGATATGTTTCGTTTCCATTAAGTTGAATGGCTTATTAATAATTTGTAGCAAATTTTAATTGTAACCAAACAGTCTATCCCTTATTTAATAGGCCTATTTTTTCTTTTTTTTTTGTTCTTTATTTCATATCGTAATCAATATTAATGTACTATACTATTTATAGATTTTTTTATCGTCATCTTTATGTCCTTGTTTATCCTATTTTTGAAAGTATAACGTCAACAAGGATAATTGCATATTTTTTTAATTAGACAAATTTATTTTGTTTATTCAAGCATTCATAATTAAACAAATTATGCATGCATCTTCCAAGCTGTTCCTTCTATTACAACAATTTTATATTTGTATACATTATTATAAATTTAACATTCGATAGCATTAACTTTATAAATTAATGTAAATTTGGACAGTTCTTCAATTAGAAAGCCCTTAGACGGATAACGTATGTAAATGCAGACGTTTCTCATAAACCTTCATCAATTAATAATTTAATTATTAAATTTAATTAAAATGCTTTTTCTAGTGTCGATCGACTGTATATCGGACATCATTACGGCATTCCTCACAATTAACGAGCTATATAATTCTACAACTCGTAAGGATATACAGGCCTAAATATTGAATAAAGCTTAAAGAAATCAGTTTTTCCACGTTAAACAAAAGAAAATTGCAACAAATCTTTTATTTAATCATGAAATATTAACTTGAATATCGAATGTTATAGATATTTTATCCTAATAATGTATTATAGTCAATTCATTGAGAAATGTGTTAAGAAGAAATGAAAGATTGTACAACTGCTCAAAAGATAGAGTATTAAATTAAAATTGAAGATTTAAAAATGAGAAGTATCTAAATATAGACAAAATATATTTTAAAAAGTTGTAAATTTACTTAATTTTATAAATAAGTAATAATGATTTATTCATCATACTAATATCTTATTTAGCAGGCAGTTAAAATTAAATTATTAATTTTATTTTTGGTATTGATACAATGACTAAAGAGTTACTTATTAAATTTTTTTTATAAATAAACCAAATCTAATTTTAATTAATTATAATAATTCACCTAAGCTAAATCAATTCTCTTACTAGATCTCTATGCTGTAAACAATATTTTTCTAAAAGAAAGCACGATTTCTGGATGATGTTATTAATTATTTATATAAAAATAAATTATATTTATTACTCTAGCAAAAGAAATATTTAAAAGGTTTAAAACAATTTACACAAACGAAACATCTTAAAAAATAAGATTCATTTTAATACTTTCACTACAAAAACAGCCGATATCATTATGATACATATACCAATTTTTCCATAAATTATTTATAATTTTTAGTAAACATTTTTCCTCATAAAAGAGCATATTTTAGAATTTCTTTTATCTTTAAAATTGCTTAAAAATAACCTATAAGTCCTTTTGTAATTTAGGTTATATACATTTTTATACACATCTAAGTGATGCGGAAGAGAATTTTTGATGAATTTTTCATGTTCGTCCAATATCTCGTTCGCAATACAAAAAAGACACATACTGGTTTATATTTTAATTAGTAATTAAATCGTTCTTCATAAAAAGTAATCAAAAATATTAAGATTTATCGACATCTATTAATAGTTCTATTAACCGTACACGTCTCACAATTGACCTTACAACACCATTGGAAACGACATTTACAATTTACCACTTCAGTGACTTTAGTGGGATCGTATCCTCGTCCGCAGCACAGTAAATCACAGCCTTCGACCCCCATAGATGTATCGTTGCATTCCCTTCCTTTTGTGCCCAAAGAACCAGTTTTACGGTTTGGTACACAATAACTAGGAGAATCTTCTGAATAAACTAAGTCTTCTTTGTCTGGTGGTTTAATGGTCTCCCCTTCTGGAATAAATCCTTTCCCGTCGTTTCCTGCAGTTACTTTTGCTGCACCATCGAATTTCTCCTTTAGTCTGTGCCCGACATCGCGAAAAATGGGCAATTTGTGCCAACAAGACTTGACTGTGCAAGATCCAGACATCCCGTGACATTTGCACATTATACGCATATAATTCTTTACTGCCTGCAAAAGAATGCATATTTATATCTTTTGTATAATAAAAATCACCATAGCTTATACTACAAAAGTCAATTAAGATTGTAAATCTTTAGATTATCCTTAGTATAACATAAATTTCCTGAATGCTTAATATTTTCTATGATATTTAAGTTTGGACCTTACTAAGTTTATTAAACCTTGCTAAAGATCTATATTTACCATTAAATAACACTTATACTTAATTTGATTGATCAATAACCACTAGAACCTACTTAATTAATCATTTATTTTAGATAAATTTACATAAAAACATATCAAACGTATCGTTATTTTGGTAATGAGCTCATGAGATTTCTCTATTTGTGACGAATTGATCCGGAAAGTTTAATTCTCAGTTTTATTTAAAAATTTACAAAAGTAGAGTGACGTATTTTTTAAATATTCAGAAAATTCGAATAAATTTTAAGACATAGCTCAAGGAAAAGAGTCAGAAAGAGACGGAAAATCTGATTAAAGAGGATTTGAAAGGATAGAAAAAGGCTGAAAGACGATCCATAAAAGAAGAGTGTAGGAAGATAGACTTTGACTAACTGACCCGATAAAGTGTTGAAACAGGAGACTAAAATAAATAAATTTGAAATAGTTTCTATATAAAAATATTTAAATTCTATATTTTGTTAGTTTATGACTGTTTCTATGGCGATTCTTTTTCAGAAAATAAATATTAAACTTCTTTTTAAGAATAGTCTCTATATGAAAGAAGTTTTTCGGCCTAAATTAAAATTATAAAATATTAATAAATAAAAAAAGTAATTACAGTGTAAGAAAAAAATAAAATCATTTCCTAATATGTCGTAATTTTAGATGCGAAATTCTAGAAGAAATTATGATGTAAACAAAATCAAAATATTTATAACAAAGTAAGAACTAGGGTTTCTCAAACGGAATTCCGAGTCCAGGAATCCAGGTTGTTTTTTTAACCCAGGAAATTTTTCTTATCCCGAGGAATCCCGCAAATTTCTTAAATATTCACTTTTTTTCTTATTTTGTGTTAAGGTTGAGGAAATTTTGCAAATAGAAAGCATAATTAACTCATAAACTGTCAGAATACATTTGTATTTATTAATTTTAAACCTACTTATTAGTTTTTCTTTTCTTAATTTTTGCTCATTATGGCATGTCACAAATGGTCAATAATCATCAATACGTAGCTTATTTGTGGCAGGACTCTCAAAGTTCTTTATGTGTAATATCTGGAATAATTTTTAACCATGTCCAGTAGCTTGAATAACTGCATAACTCCAGGTTGTGCAAATTGGGCAAGGATACAAACGAGTACGAAGTCTGCGATTATGAAGTTTTTCTTCATAACCTGATTAATAAAGACAAACGAACTACCGAATTATTGGGCTATGCTGTTTCTATTAAAGCAGTCGAGGTAGACAAATCAAGAATACTAGAGAGCAAAAGAAGTACTACAATCTCGAAAACAAATTAAAAATCTTTCAGGCTACAGTTGAAAAAACGTAATATCTGTCTTCTCTTAAATGCATTAAACACAATTTTAATCACGTCAATTGAATCGGAAAGGGCATTCTCGGTAGCGGGACTTTTCATTATTAAAATATAAATCAGATTGAGTGATCGGAGTATTGACCATATTTGCTTTTTAAAATCTTATAAAAATTTACAATATTTTGTATTATATTTTATTTAAAAAACGAAAATCACCTTTTAAGTTAGAAGTTTGATCTAAGTTCATTTTTTTAAATTTTTAACTCAATTCAAAGCATTTTTTTCTTTTGTTGTTGTTGTTGTATGCAGTTTCCAGCAAAGTTTAATAATTTTTTTTCTATTTGTGAAAATTTCTACGTAATTCAAAAATAATTTTTATTATATATCTTACACGGCATTATTAATATGATTTTAGAGGTTATAGAACGTATTAAATTACTTTAAAAAATGAAAAATAATTATATTATTTGATTTCAAGATATTTTGTATATCTTAAAAATAATTAATTTTATCCCAGGGTTTCCCGGGATTCCGGGAAACAGTTCACTTTTATCTCGGAATCCCGAGACAAGCAAAAGACCGGGAAATGAGAAAACCTAGTAAGAACCCTTTCTGAATTAATTTATTTACTGGATGTTAAATATCCCTTAGGCATTTTCTAACGTGCAATTAAACTTTTCTAGAGTTTAACTTCTTGCATCTTGATAAACTTACTTCATCTTATTACAGCAGCAAGGAAGCAAATTCCAAAATTTCATCAATATTGATAGAAATCTTAAGTCAAACATGACGTGTTTCAATTCAATTAATTTCATTTAAAAACGAAGAATTTTAATCACTTTTTTAGAGGTATTTTAGAGTATTTTTTTACTGTATTAAAGCGAATTAAACTCATTGGCATTATCCAAAATTTCTTATTTTTTTTACGTTTTTAAACTAATTTTAAAACTGTAAATTAATTTACAATAGCGTTTTGTCCGTTTGTCTGTCTGTATAATTGTGAAAATGTAAGATGATTTTCGAGATAACTATTTAAAATTTTTATGATAATTTCAGAAGCCAAACATTTTTATCCTTACAGAACGGAGAAAAATTTGACGAAAATTTTAAATAATTTTTATGTTTTTATTATTATCAATGTCTGAATTTAATGCATTGAGTTTTTTAAATTTCCGTTTGATTATTTAATATAGAAAATCATCTTGAGCATTCTATTAATTTTTGTTTATTATGACCAGAATTGTGGTATATAGGTCTATGCATATTTTGTTAATAAACAGACAGAGCTAGATTTATACATAAGTTAAACAAGCCAAAACTTAGAACCTCAAACTTATTTTCTTAGAGGAAAAAGGCCCCTTATATAATGTAGCTCAGGGCCACAACGTGTCTAAATCCGACCCCGATGACAGGTCTATATTTTTCTCTTATATAAGCCAAAATAAGCTGTAAAAGAAAGCAAGTATAAATCAAACTATGCACATTTATATGAAAACTTAAGTAACAATCAATAACACTTGATTTATTCAGATTATTTTGATAATTATTTAGCATAGATATCATTTAACATTCCTGGATAAGAAATGTTATGTAAAGAATTAATATAAATCTACACGTAACAATTATATAGTTATTTGAAAAATAATAATAATATTTTTTCAATATATTTTAAACTTATATTCTGATATTATATTTATTATATTTTACAATACGTTATTGTTTACAATAGATCTTGTAAGATTTTTATAACGGAAAAGTTGCGTTATAAGATTTATTAAGTTATTTATTAATAAAAATATTTATAATTATTATAATTTTAAGTCTTTTTAAAGAATTAAATGAGTAAAATTAAAGTTAAACATAATTAAAATGCATCAAAACCAATTAAAAATTAGTTTTAAGCATTCTCTCTACTTTCAGTTTAAAAACAATTAAATGTGTTAGAAGCTAATTATGGATTATGAATTTGATTATAATCTGTTTTATTTTATAAATATTCAACGCTAATTAAGTGATTTTTTAAAATAAAACTTTGCTACTAAGGGGGTATTTGTATTGTCAGACTAATTTATATCTTTTCCTCAAATTGACGCCACTTTTACATTTTGTTATGATAAAAATGTAGAAATGACAGCAATTTATTGTAAAAATGCACTCATTCTCTAAATACCTTATACTGTATCTAAAAATATACATTATTCGCGAAAATACCTTATAATATAGGCTATATTATAATATCAAATTGTTCACAGAATACTTAACAATAAGCCTATATCAATCATGACTATCTTATCTGTTTTCATTGATAATTGAATATTTAGTGTTTAAACAAATACTTGTTTTCCTATATTAATAAAAATTTTCAGATAAATAAGGAATAAAGTAGTGAAAACTCGGACACTCATACTGTAATTAGCCGCATTGGTTTTAAAATAAATAATTTTAATATTATAATTATGTGTATATTTATCTCATATACGATCTAAGATAAGATGGAACATTATAGGTGAAGTATATATTTATATAAAAGTATATAAAATAATCAATAAAATTCATTTTCCTGAAGTATATTTAAAAATAATTATCAAAATATTCCATAAAATGCCACGGAAAATGTCTATAAAAATTTATAGACATTTATAGGGGGTGTTCGTATCGTCAGAATAATATACATTTCCATATCAAATTGACTTCATTATTACATTTTCTCGTGACAAAAACGTAGGAATAACGTCATAAAAATATGCACTTTGCTAACAAAACGAATGTGCCTTTTATTATCAATTTTTATCAAATATTATTTCTGAATAAGAAATATACTTAGAAAAGTCTATACTTATTAATTAAGCAGCTGTTAAAGTCTAAAATATGGAAAAGTTATGTTTTTGATATAAATTTTAATTTTAATTATTTTCATACCAATATTATCAATATATCGGCAATTAAATATTTTTCATTCGCATGTAAAATTTACATAATATATTTATAAAATAAACATATATGATTACATTTTATACTAATATAAGCCGTATATGCTCACAAATACTCAACAATAAACGTAATATATAGTCTACAGATAAACACACGAACGAACATAATATACATAAATATGCACATAACACCGTGTTGTTATGTATCTTAAAATATAAATAACTGATTATGTCATTAGAACTATTTAATGCAATAATACATACAATATATATACAATATATACACACACACACACACATATATAGGCTATGTGTTATGTCTAGTGTATATTCTCATTTAGGTTCTTATCACATAAAATATTGACCATTAAGCCCTTATCACGTATAGTATATGCATATGAGAGTATACGGCATGCATACATACAAATAACGCTGCTTATTCTAGTTAAAAATGTACATTCTTCGATAACGCAGAAAGACAAATGAAGTCTATAAACTTACCAAACGTCCAGCTTCATAATTATGATTGAGAACCATAGTCTTAATATCGCTTCTCTTTCGATATCTGTCATTCATAAATTCGGCAGATTTCCTGTATCCATATTCGACATTATCCCCGCATCCGTTCCATTCCCATTGTCCTTCGCGATCAACACTTCTCATGCTCTGACCGCAAGAACAATCCAAAAGTAGACCTTGACTACAGGCTTGCGTTAAAGCATGAGTAACTCCCGCCGCTGTAATTGCATTTACGTAACCAGTTTCTCTCGTATCTATGAAAAAAATGAAAAAGAAGTATAAAAATATTCTATAACTTATAAAAATTTATAAGCTTTTTTCTTCTATTATCCACGTTTCATAACCTATCTTCGAAAGTATACATAATTTTAAGATGTTTTTTTACTTTGTAAGGAAAAAAAATTGTGTTTAATTCTGTGTATAGTGGTAAATTAAGTCAGCTCAGACATAAGAAAATTGCAGGATTCCTGCGGCCGTGTTTAGAATAGGTAGAATTTAATGAAATATTCCTATCGTGGATTCCCCCATTTCAACCATAATTATATGTCATTTTGTATTTCCTGCCTGTTGAAAATTACCTTGCAACAAATTTTGGCACGCCACTGGTCCTCTAAGCACGAACCCCACTAACGCAATTCTGACGTCACCGCCACAATTCACCAATAAGATGTAACACGACGCGGGTGGCCACCGACGGCGCTGCAGTCACGCGAAAGAATCAATCAAATGTAGCTACGCAGCACGTGAGGTCAGAACGACACGCCTACGGGAGGAGATAGCCAATCGTCTATCGGTACTCCACTGTTTCTATGACAACTGACATTGACGCGACGGTCACGCACTCTAGTGAGGTATGTTTTATTAATTAAGTCGTCAGGGAGGCCTCCAGATTTTTTCGTTTCTCTCTCGCTTAGTGAACATTCGTGCTTTTAAGTTGCTTGTTGTGACAAATGACGAAATTATTTATTCTACTCTTTACTAAAAATCTGTCCTTGATTTTTTTTATTTATTTAATGAACATTTTGTATTTGTCATCCACGACAAATACAAAATGTCACTCGATTTTTAAAATGACAAACACTTTTGCTTCGTTACAGACATCAATTTTTTTTTATTTTTTAAGCAACCCGGCAAATCTCCATTTTGATAGATATCATCTTGACACTTTGACAAATCATATCCTATTTATCTCAAACGACCAATGTCAACTCATAGCCAAACCTAGAGCTTGATATATGTCTGTTCAAGTTGATTTACAGATTTTCTCAAGCGTTTCCTTTTCACCACTACTGGAGTTGGCCACACGCAGTGATTTGTATAACAAGATTCATTCACTTGACAAATAGCTTAGCTTTTTAATCTTCGTACTCACTAACTTTCTGTCAATCAAATGTAAAAGTGAACTTTTGAAATATTATATCTCGAGCCCACCGACCTTAATATATATATTTTATAAGGTAATAATTTGAAATTAAGATAAAGTCATTAATTTTGTGTCCATATTTTTCTTATTAAAATTGGTGAACTTAATTTAGAAGCTTAGCTAACAAATTTTTCTTGATTTTTTAAATCTGGTTTCTTATATTCTTGACTCGTTCGTCTTCTTAAAGCCTTAAGCAAAGGTGAAATTAGGTCGTTAAGCAATCAGAAACTTTGTTGATTATATATTTTCTTTTTTTTCCTGGTATAATGAAGGACAATGACCGCTTCATTAGGAAATAATCTACCTGTGGGAAATTAACCTATGGAAATAATGTTTAATTCTGTTTATGTAAGCTGTTATATAACAATTTTGCTCATATAAACTCATAGTTAGAGATGTTCTCAATACTATTTTCGTTCGAGTTTTAATTATAAAATAATATTTTAAACAAATTTTTTATGTAATTTTTTTAAATTCCATTCAATTTCATATTTGTCCTACTTATCAAGCTTTGAATGTTAATGTTGCAAGGGTATCGATAACTCATTCATAGCTGTAAAAGTCAAGTTAATGAGAATTTATTTCGATTTTAAACGAAGTGACGTTTAAAACATTTTATTTTATAAGTTTTTATTATTTTATCGGTAATTTAAAAATAAATGTCTTAAGTAAAAGTCTTGAAAGCGTAAAATGGTCGCATAAACAAATATTTCTCAAGTGATTAATTATCTCTTTACTACTTAGACAGTTAAGAGAGTGTTATAAATCGATAATTTATATAATTTATAAAATATTTTATATATTTTAAACTATATTAACATTAATAAATATATTTTTACAAATACTATATAAAATAAAATGAAGAAATTAAATGTGAAATTAGAAGTTTGCACTAAATTACTAGCACATAGAAACTTATTAAAATACAACATAATCCTACAATAAAGACTAATCACTTTAGTGTTTAATATGTCGACAACGTATTGATGTTTTTATTATTAATTAATGTATTTTTTGATTCAAATAAATATTATAAAGTATAAAAATCAATAAAACCATAATATTTGCATTTAAGATATTATAAATGAATTATTGTTGAAGGAAATAAAAATTGTTTTTGTTTTAGAATTTTTAAATTAAATATTTGTGTATTTTATTATAAACACATTTTATAAATAAGTAAATATTTATAATTGTATCAATAATATTCAAATATAAATACATTTTTACAGCTTCTAATTATTGGTAATCAGTCTGTATAGTCTGAAGTTATAAAATTGATATCGTATTTATCCAATAAATAAATGAAATTAATTCAATTAAATTCAACTAAAAATAACTATTACACATAACTAAAACTATATATTTAGTAATTATAACAATCATCATTATTATAAATGGAATATGAAGATATAACTCGGAGAAACTTAATAATAGGTCTAAATGATGTATAAAATAAATAAGTTAATTTAAACTTATTATGTACATTTTATATTTATTAGTTAATTTTTACTTGATAAAGAAATTAATTAACACAGGAACCTAATCACTAGATTGTGTTCCTCTCTAATTAATTCTTTATAACTTTATTAAAAAGTGTAAGTCTTTATTCAGCTTTTTCCAATTCAAATTAGAATTATCTTTAAATAACTTATTACAATTAACGTATAAATCTATATTAATAAATAAAAGAAGAAAAATGTAAATATAAAATTTCCTAATCAAAATGTAATTTAAAATTAATTTAATTAATTTTTATCTTATGTTTAGAATAGATTTAAATTTAAAAATGATTTATTTAATTTATTTTTGTTTTTTGAATATGCCTCAAAGCTTTAAGCTTGTTAATAAGTGTTGTTAGTTATTTAAACAAAATAAACTGATTCAGCATATTCATTTCTTACACAAACATCAATTAATCATAAACAATTGCTGTGAAATGAATTTTTTGTTTAACTTGTTTTTACATTGTGAATATAACTCAAATTTTAAGCTTATTAGTAAGCTTAAAATTAGTTTATAAGCCTGTTAATAACTATAACAATAATAATTAACAAGCCTATATTTAATAATTCTAGATAACATATTCATTCATTCCACTAATATCAACTAATATCAATTAAGATTTAGAGTAATGTTTTTATGTTAAGCTTAATAATTATTATGTGCACAAAATTTAAATTATTATAAACAATTTCTAACAGTTTTTAAACAAAATAATGTATAATTCAACACATTCATTTACACTAATATAAGTAGGCAGTAACTAAACAATTACAAGAACACAAATTGATTATATATTTAAGTAAATTTCTCATGTAAAATTGATTGTTTGGTATTATTTATTTAATGTAAATAACATTTCATTTTTATAAACTTGTTTTTAATTTTTAAATAATTCTATATATCGTTAACCTTATAAGCTAGCTTTATCAGTAATCTAAGCTTCATTTGGATATTCATTTACTCTAAAAAAAACTTATAGAATATTTTAGACAAAATAAATACAGTATATCATATTTATTTTAATTATCTTGTATTCCCGACAAGTGGAACTATAAATACATTTTTTTATAAGAATAAGAAAGTATGAAATGAGATATTAATGATAATTTATGCCATTAAAATTGGATTCTTTTTTACACTCAATGGCACTATTTTTCTGTAATTACAGATTATTTTAATGCTGATTTAGCATTTTATTAAATTTTAGAAACGAAAATAAGTAAAATACTATTTATTTTAATGGAAATAAGTATTTTTATAAATTTGAGCAATTAATAAATTAATTTAGAACTAAAATATTGCCTGTATGTAAAATAGAAATGGCCTGTTGATGGGTTAATTATAGTTAAAACTTGATATTGTTTAATTAAAAATTGATCTATTTGAATTATTAAATACTTCCTAAGTATAATAAATAATCAATAAACTTACCTCTAACTAAAACTTTTCTCATTGAACGATGTATTCTACTACAGTTCCATCTTCTACTGCGAAATTGGTACTGACATTCTCGAACTCCTAACTGTGCACCTCGTCCGATATGACGAATTACCACCGGTTCCTGTTGACAAATTGCCATTTGTTTCCCTCTCAATCTCCTTGTCTTCTTACAAATGCGACTAGGGTCCAAAACTAGCTGCCGGCCAAGTGTCCTACGAAACATACAGTTTGACAGCTCTTACATGTTTATAGTAACCCATAATGCGTACATTTTAAACAAATCTATATAAATTAATGCTTATAAATTTGTCTGGTATAAACATAGATTATAAAGTGTATAATTACTTGAAGTTTTTGTATAAAATTAATCTACATACAATGTTTCTCCGATAGTTATCTATGAAAAAACGTATCAATATAAGAGAAACTTTTAATATACGCGCTTAAATTAACTGAAACTGCATTAATAATTTACCATTTTGAACGTAATTAAAATTGATATACAATAAATTTAACATAAGTTTATATATAATTTCGAATTTCGATTTAAGTAATTACATGACCAAAAAAAAATTATTTTGCGGGCATTTTCTAACTTTCAGCAATATCAGACTTTCAAAATTAAAGTTTATAATTGCTTAGGGATGATGAGTTAGATAATAAATAGCCTAATTATATGCAATTCCAAACGGTTTTCGTCAGCTCTGCTTTATTCTGATAGCCATCTTTCCAGACTTATTAGCTTAGAAGAGAATCCTACCTCATTGAATAATCTAGCCCGAAGCTAAATGAAAAGACGAATATACCATGTCAGACACCACGTGGTGTGGTCTAATTTATTCCCGATGCACGTGACACAATGTGCGTGCACTACGACCGTCCCACTTGACGTAACCTACGACATTCTTGGAGCACCTTGCGTGATGACGTAGCGTCAAGTTGGCAAGGTGCCAACTCAAGGACGGATTGACTACTTCTAAGCACGAAATGGGCTCATCAGAATTTTAATTAAGAACCTATCGATAACAATAGGCTCCTCTTCTATTTTTAAAACACTCGTTACGCTAAAAAAAAACTACAAAAAAAAATATTTCTGATTTAATTTAGTTATGATAAAGACATCTTAATAAATTTAAATTTATATTTTCCCGTCTCTGTCTTAATTAAGATGAATTAAATAATCATTTAATGATATAATCTGAGTGGGAGGAGTTGGTATACACCTAAAGACCCAGTGGCCTAGTGCACCTACTCTCAAAAAGACTGCAGTTTACGCCTAGAAGGCAATGAATTTTGAAATGAAGTAGTATCATTTATTCAAGTTTTTAGTTTCAGAAAACTGAAACAGTTATATTAACCATATAATAAGACCTCTCTGTGACTTTTCCTTTACCGATTTTGCTGACAGCTTCATAATACTGCTATTCTTTCTATATCCACTTAACCCCGAGGTCAGTACTGGCGCCAATTCAACTCTATCTGTAGTTATATTGACTCTGCTAAAAATACTAAGATGAGGACCGATCAAAACTTAATTGTTTGAATAAAAAAGTAAGAGATTAAAACGCTAAATCAAACGAAAACATCAAAGCTCATCAAAAATCCTCCGATCTAACTGATAAGTTATGGAGTAGAAAGAAGTTGAATAGCCCTTTAATAATATAACTCTTAACAACGTTTGAAATGACAATAAATAAAAAATTATTTCTTTTTATAAACATTTTATCATTTGTAGAGATTATTCTTCAAATATTTTAAATAATATCTGATTTATATTTAAAGATATTTGTAAAGTTTATGATTTTCTATGGGACTATAAGTTTACTTAGAAAATTCTCTAATTTATAGCCTATCTAGGTCATTTCAAATAAAAAATATTAAAAAAATTATATGCATATTTACTTATTAATTGACGTTAAAATAATTTATAGATGATGACTAAAATAATATCCTGTACAAAATAAATGTCCTTAATTAGATCATGAGTAAAATTAAAAAGGCTACATCCTTGAAAATTAACAACAAAATTTTGTTTAAATTCATTTAAAAAATTATCAAAATCAATAAAATTCGATTAAATTTATAAATAATAAAACAATTCTTAACAAAAAAAGAAAAATAAACGAATTATGAATTAAAATTAAGTCTGTCGATCACCATATAACATAACAGTCTAAGCATCCACTTCTCTATCTACAAACGCCTACGGTAGGCCTTGATTAACTATCTTCATTATACAGTGGTTAGCCTTAATGACAAGTCGTATCTTGATAATGGTGTGATTAATTAATAATTTAATCATCTTAGACATTATAGAATATCTACAATACGCTTAAAACTTATTCCGCAATCGATTATTTTTAAATTAAAAAAGTCATAATTGGCTAAAGTGTCAAGCTTTAAAATGAAAATGAACAATTTTGTGTGTTCTTTGGACTTAGAAATCAATTGATATATCCAGTCAGGGGATTAAATTTACTATAAATTACGAACTATGACCCTATATAAACATTCAGCGAAGGATATGAAAATAGTCGTGTATTAATTAACTTAATGTTCTGTTATTGTTATTAGAAATAGTAGTTCTATGCCACCAAAGTTAGATTCAAATTTATCTAAATACGTTAAATAAAGGCTTTATTCTTTAATACACTTATTCTAAATTTTTACAGATTTCTATTTAATAAATATATGACATAAAAATAATAAAAATAAAATCAAAATAAAGCTTAAAAAAGAATTTAATAGGTTACTATAGGCCTAAATGAATTAAATGTCTCACTTTATAATTTATAACTAATTTTTTAAAAATACTATTTATTTTAATGGAAATAAGTATTTTTATAAATTTGAGCAATTAATAAATTAATTTAGAACTAAAATATTGCCTGTATGTAAAATAGAAATGGCCTGTTGATGGGTTAATTATAGTTAAAACTTGATATTGTTTAATTAAAAATTGATCTATTTGAATTATTAAATACTTCCTAAGTATAATAAATNATTAGAATATAACAGGCCTAATATTTTGAAAGACTTCTAAAAATTATATTATTAGCCATTAATTATATTCAGTGTATTTATTAGTAAAACTCAAGGACGTAGTCAATTTTCATAAGTTTACTTATGTAAGAACAATGATGCATTCTTTAATATTGCAACATATAAAGTTTCTATATACTTGAGAAATAACTATATCATAAAAAGATTAATCATTATCTTAATGATTTAATTAGTCATATCAGATTAAAAATAAAAATAATTATATTTTTTCTGCTATAATAAAACATTGGTGCATATTTTTTTTAGTTTAATTTTTTACTTTTTATATTGAAGTTTATAATGTTGTCTCGTGATGGAGAAACTGAATGATATCTTAATCAGAAAATTAAAAGAAAATGTCACTTCTGAAATAACTAGAAGAGCCACTTAACATGTCTGACATTAACCCATAAATTTTACTTGCTTCAGAGTTGATAATATAGCAGTTACTTCTAATAGAAGACTCTCCTATTATAGAATTAGTAAAAGTTTCCATAAGCATTTTACTGTTGACACCCAAGTAATTTGGAAAATCCAATGCGGACAACACCTACCTTTTTAAAAAGCTGTAGAATGAAGTGGGAATTTTTATTATTCATAATACGACTTTCTTTATTTTATTACTCTAAGAATTGATAATTTAACTCTAAATATTTAGGATTACAATATATAAGACATGATACAAAAAACACGTTAAGTTTAACAAAATCTTCCTAACTAACAAGGCCCACAAGCCCTCTTCTAACGGGAACAGAAAGATAATTACAAATTTGTTTTACGTAAAAGTTAATTGGACAATTGGTCTCGGCAACCTAAACAATTATTACAGACATTAACAGCATTACAACAGCATAGTTTGTTACATTACATCCAATAAAAATCTATTCTACTATCGATACTCTTCGTAACAATTACAACTAAATTAGAAAATGAGTTAAAAAGGAATAATTAAACGATAAACTTACCACCATAAACAGCTGACGTTCCATATATCTAGAAGAAAAACAGCAATGAGTACGTAACGCCAACTTATGTTCATTTTAACTCCGTCTATCACCGCAGATCAGCCATATCAACTGCGCATATCCGATCTTATAGGCGATGTCAACTTCTAGCTTCTATTCTGTGCGTTAATGGATAGGTTTCGATGTAGAAAGCCACTTAAAGTACCAACTATTCTCGGTGACGTAGTACACGTTTCAACTAGATAGCGGTGGAGTCTGTAAGTTAGCGAGAAGCCAGGCGGGACCCGTTATTCATTCGCCACTGACTGCTTTGGTGGGCCACTGACATCTTTGTGCCTCTTCAACTGACGTATAGTAGTGAAGCCCGCAGGCTTCCATGGTCACTCGACCCGAAGTAAACATTGCTCTGTTGTTTTATCTCACTATATATTGTTTGATAATTTCATTATTTTGTATTCAATACGCATCTAATTTTAGTATTCTGCGCGCCGATTTAACTCAAAGCAATTAGATATATTTAAAAAAACAAGGATTTTTTTCTACTTGTTTCCCTCAAACTATTTATTTATCAAGATTTAAAGAACAACATATCTATATAAATGATTAATTAATATTTTTTTTCATTACTATAAGTAAATATATAAAGCAGTAATAGATTTTTGCAATGTTATCAGATGTAAGTTTAGAAAACACAATGAACAGATACTGAAGATAATATAAGAAGATTCTTTATTGTTTTTTTTCATTGTAGTGTTGACTGACAGCAGATTTTAACTATACATTTTTTTTTTTTTAAACTTACTGTCTGATGTCGTATCTCTTAGTTCATTTCTTAACTTAATGAGACCGCACATCTGTTAGCCAATAATTATGTTGTAGTGTCTTATAACAAACAATACATGACTAGAGGCTATGACTCTATCTTATATATATTTTACCTTCTTTCTTTTAGCATAATTATAATGCAAGTCAAACGTTTTTCTTTACAATTGAAATATGAATAGAATGGTGTTAAAGTTTTATAAATTAATAAAATCGCTAACTAAAGGGTGGAACTCTTCATTAGCAGATAAAGAATATTTAACTGTTGGTAAATAATGTATAATATGAAAGAGAATATTCAATTATAATCAATAAAAATGTGTAAATAATTGGTTTTGTAGGTATCTGATTTAAAAATATTTATGTTTGTATCATATTATTAAGGAATGCGGATTTACATTTTCTATCATTACAGTAACATAATTCTGACATTAAATGTAGTATCAATATTTAAAATTTTTTTATAAACACAGCATTTAATTTAAAATTGCTATTTTTAGAAAATATACATATGTCGACAAGAGAATATACCTCGTTTTGAATTAAACGCAAATTTTATTTTTATTAAACTTTGCAGTTTCTGAAATGGGAAATATGAGTTTATAAAAGTTCCCGTTATAGTGGCATTTCAAAATGGCAGTTGGCGATTGGCGCCCCTAGTGACAAAAATTAGTACTATCTTCATTAGAGTTAACGGGTAGGTGGATGCAGATACGTTTCTTAGCTGCAACTTCACCCAGTTTATCGCTTCGTGGCAACATTTCCCGCCCTTATCGTGACTCTTACCGGAACTAACCGTTGTCGTCACGTACGTCACGATCGCGCGTGACAAGTGGTTTTTATGACCCCACCACTAGGGGTGTGACTGTCACCGAGGGACGCCGAACTCTTCCTTTGCTATTGTGGATCCAGTGTTGATGACATCATTAGCATCTTATTAAGATATTACGTCCGACACATCGATGCTGCTCCTTCGACATAACATGAAATATACAGATAAAGGGGTGGAAATAGGAGTTTAAAAGCATAAACCGGCCGTTAATACTATTTTTAAGTGAACAATCGATACAAAAAATAGCAAAAGAGTATGCTTTTACCGCATGACTAGCGGCTAAACAATCGTTCGCCTTCCTGACATAAGAATCAAGGAGACTGCTTGGCGCCCCACATATCGTTACGTTTTGCACAAATAATATTCTCGGAAATTTTCATAGTAATACATTATAAAGTAAATAATATAATAAGTAAACTTTATTAAGTTTATTTAATTAAAAAAAATTAATAGTTAGAAGTATAGTTACAATGAGTGCGACTTCAGGAGTTTTTCATTTAGATTTGTAATTCACAAATCTAGTACAAATAATAAATACCGAATTGCAACTTCGTACCGGAATAAAACTGCAATAAAAGTGTTAGGGGATGTGCTTTCTAATTATTTAATTTGCATCACGTACAAATAAGCTAGAGAATCCTTGTCCAGATAGGGCAAAGGGAGCTGCCCTGGCAGGGACCTGGCGTGTACATCGGTACTTCCACGCCCCTTCAGCGTCTCCTCACGCGATGGGGGCAACCATCTCTCCATTAGGCCTAACACCAACCTCATCGCTGAGACCACACATTGAGAAGTCCCGATTTTGCTGTAGGCCAAATGCCGTGCCCTGCTGCCTGACATGTTGATTACACGGCCTGGCTGTGAGCGATGTATTGAGGGGAACATACATCTTCATCGTGAGTAAAGGGACCTTTNTAATAAGAAAAATAATTTACTAACTATCCTATCCAATGTATAGAATTGTGTTAGAAAAAACAACTTTTTAAAAAAATATGAAATCATTATGACACTTCATTAAATTGATTCCACGAGAATTTATTGTAATAAATAGTAGAAAATTTTAATAATATATACATATTAATTGTAATTTTGTATGTAGCTTATATATGCTATAAACAGAATAATGGCCTTTGCTTTCCAGTATCTTGTGTCCTATATCCTGTATTCCCCATTTTATACTTACATTCAATATCCTATATTATATGCCACTATTACCAGTAAAATATTGCATACAATATATTCATAACAAACGATTGAATTTATTTTTGTCCATATTTTCTATCGAATTACTTAATGACATTAAAATAAATTCTTTAAAAGTTTTTTAAATAGAAATTTCGGTTTGAATTTTTTCAAATTAAAAATTAAGATTACATAAAAATTAAATTGACAAATTCAAACTCTTTATCCTTAAAAATTCATAGTGAATCCTATTTAAGGATTTGCTATGAATTATTATAAACATAAATTACTTATTACTTATAAACAAAATAGTATGCTTTCATTTTAAAAAAATCACATTAATTTTCATATAAATATTTTATTTTCAAATATGAATCGTTTCCTCGTTTTATTCATTTCTTTCTTCAAATGTAGAAGTTTGTTTTCTTAAGAAATAAAGATGAAAAAGAAGGATAACATATTTAAATTAGATTCTTCAATGTAGTATTTTACAATTTCGACAAAAAATAAGCCAAACCTATTCAATATAAATTTATCTTAATCCTAATTTAAATTCCAATATCATATCTATAATTATCTAGCACCGATTAAATAAACATGTCACTAATTATAACCAAATGACATTTATCTTTTCATCAGCTTCCACTTGTTCCTGGTGCAATGATCTTCAATCTGATATCACTCGTGTTTTTATATCTAAGAATTTAAAACCGATTATTTATTTTCAGTAATCACCTAATCAAGGCGATTTTCAAGATTAATCTTCAATTGATCTTAAATTATTTCAGATAAATTTATATTTGATTTTCTATACCTAGGATATAAGATAACAAAAATGCTTTGCTTTTCTTTCGTTAAACAAATATTTGATGAAGATGGGGTTGATATTTGATGCCTGAAACACGAAGTGGATGATGAAGAGAAACATGAAAGCCGAAGAGGATGATGAAGAGAAAGATGAAAACCGAAGAGGATGATTATAAAGATTATATTTAAATTTAAATCGGATTAAACATATAATAAACAATCAAATATTTTAAAAAATACAACTGAGTTGTTTGCTTATTTTACTCTAGTAAACAATATTTAATCAAATTATTTATTTTATCGAGAATTTTCAATAAATTAATTCANGATATGTTTTAGTAGAAGCTACGTTTAGGTAATTTGCATTTATCCAGATATATGAAAAAATTACCTAAAATTAATTTCTTATTTTTCATCTTTACGTTAAAAATTGTTAATTTAGAAGAAAATGTGGAAAAATATGAACTTACCGCTCTGTACAATTTTCCCAAAAAGTATTCTTCCTTTATCCTTGACAGGACAATTCCACCTTCTGTCGCGGAATTGGTAATTACATTCATGTAAGGCCATTTTAAGTCCTTTACTAATGGCAAGCAAAACTCCTGGATTTTCTTGCACCAATCTCTCTTGTTTCCGACGTAATGGCACATTTGTATCGCCCGATGATATCGCGTTGTGATGAGATTCCAATACCAAATTGCTAGGTTCTTCCGAATCTACAACACTCCTAAAAAATTATAAAATAAAAATTCAAAATAACCTTTCTTGTCAAATGAAATTCGTTAAATTATAAAGTAATTTAAAACTAGTTTTTGACATATATACGATTTATTTATTTATTTTTTCTTATTGACATAAATTAATGTTTATTATATTTCCAGTTACATTATAATTAACTTATCTAGCCATTACTAAATGAAGGTCTTCACTTTTTTTCTTTACTGATTTCTTGTTTAACCTTTGAAAATCGAGTGTTGTAACATTATAAAATCTTAACGAATTCTTACATAAATATGGAATCTAACTATAATGCAAAGACGCAATTGTATATAATCATCTTTGAACAAAATATACGTTGTTCTGTTTAAAATAAGACTTCGAATGCATCTCATAATTCAATATACAAAGCACTCACCAAACTCACTCGACATTCTCTACTTTCGTGATTATACCTCGTTTCTTTTTTTTTGTAAAACAAAAGTAACTTGCTCATTTGGTAGGAAGTTGGTCGGCAGAAATGAGACATATAATATGATGAGTTCTATTTTTAACTTTTATTGGGGAGAAAACACGAATATCCGTTCTATAAAGTGCTTGAAAGTGAGTTTTTTTCCAGCTAAAAGTGTATACATATAAAGCTCATTATATGTTATAATTTTCTTTATTAATTTATTCTATAGATAATTAAGCAGTTTTTGATAGATTCGTGAGCTTAAAAATTATATCTCGAAGCGGAAATTAATTAGATTTAATTGATAAGATCTCGGAATATGTTTAAATTTTTAATGAGTTAATTCATATTAATTAGTTAGGCGTGTTTAAACGCGTTAACCATTACGTTAAAGGTGGGTTAATTTTATTCACAAATGACTTAATTCTAATTCAGAAACTTCAGAAATTTAGTTCAAGTTCAGAGAGTTGGAAATCAATATCATTTTAAGAATAAAATCATTAAAAAACTATTAAGTTAGATCAATTTCAGCAAACTTTCTACGCCGAAGCAGCCATTGTTTTATATTAATTTTTAATGGTTCTAAATTAATTTTTAAAAAGTTTTATATAAATAGAGGATGAGAAAGGATTTATTTAGGATAAGAATCCTAACTTACCACCATCTGGGTCCTCTACCTTTACTCCTTCCTCGACTGGCTTTGCCTCTGTTATCTGTTTCAATGGGAGCTAAGAACACCAAGAGCAATAAGATGGTGATGAGGAGGCGGAGAGAGCTACATGCCATGACTGGACACAGATAAGATCTTTTCCTTCACTTGTCTACCCAAAGGACGATGAGGAGCGCTACCTGGTGGCCAGGTGTCCCACGTGACTAGGACGGAAGTGGCCAGCTACTCCAGTCACCAACCGATCAGCGAATAATTGCAATTTGAATGGTGTTAGGCAGTCTTAAGACAGTTTGTTATTTGGAATTTTTAGAAAGGCAACGCCGTCTGTCGGTTTTTGTCGGGACTTCGATAATTGGAAAGTGTTGTTACTGTTGTAAAGAGGGGTTGGGTGAATTCTGGAATAAGGGCAATCAGCAATGGGTTTATTGGAAGAAGTGCGGTTTGCAAAGAGACAGTGCGGTGAGTCAAGGCGATCTTGCATATGTTTGAACTCGCCGATCTGAACTGTTCAATCTTCTACTTTCTTTCAATACGTATACTATTTACAAAGTTATAAACTCGTTTTGTTTAATTGTTCTTCGACGATTTTAAATATTCATCGTAAATTCTAGTCTTGTTCTTGAAAAGTACTTCATATGGATCCAATTAACGGTTCTCAAGCCATTAAAAATCCACTTAAATATCACGAAATTATACTATTATAATTAAGAACGTTCTAATTAGCTCTTAAATTGGACTTTACCATAATAAATTCTTAAATACACTTCAGTTTTACATTAAAATTCTTGTCTTATTTTAAAGTTTTAATCAGATATATCTGCAAAATTGTTTACTTTTATGATTACCCAAATTATTTTAAAGCCAAAGCTTAACGAGAAATGTGCATTTTAAAATTATTGGCTAAATATTGATTAAACCATTTCACTTTTATCAATAACCATGTATAATTGTACAGATTTAAAAAGATAGACTGTATTGGATAATATTAATAATCATCATCTTACACAACGATGGATAATTTATGTAAAAAATAATATAAATAGATTGTAGCAAGATTTAAATTTCAAATAAACTTGAAATTATGTTAATAAAATGTATTTAAAGCTTATTAAAAACATATTTTTAATTTTATTAGGCTATATAAAGCCTATATTTATTAGATTTATCAAAGGTTAATTTGCATTTTATTTAATCAATTTTCGAGAATAAATAGCGATCAATTTGTTTAATTGAGCGTAATTTTTAAATAGATATTTATTGAAATATACATCTTTTATTAATTAAGCGATTTTTTTACTGTTTAATGCCTACATTATGGTCAGTTGCAATGTCATTTTGTAATTTTTCTGCTTGAAATTTTAGACTTTTATGTGCTTAATGAGTTCATGTCGAAACTACAAATAAGCAGAAGTAAGTTACTTCGTAACTGGCGTATATGATTACAAACTCGTTACTCATTTATTAACTTAAAAAATTGAAGTTTTTCAAGAAATTTTAGTTGATAAATTAGAATGTCATAAAACAAACAAACAAACAAACTTTTTATTGTCTCAATTAATTTTCTTAATTATCTTTTAAATAACTCAAAATTCTCACTTCGTAATTTACTTTTTTTATGTGTGTGGGGGTTTGTGAGAATATGAACTGGTTGAAACCATTAAAATCGTTATGATAATGATGAAAAACGTTATTACTAGACGGTCAAATAGGAACATTTATCCATTAAAAAAAGAGAGGAAGTCAAATAAGTTGTCCACAACATCCTGTAAGAAGACTCCCTTTCTCTATGTACAATCAACCCGTCACCAAATAACCGGGGCAGGACTTCGTGACAAAAGTCAATAGGCGTCAGCTCCAGATTGTCTTGATTACCTTTGGTGGAGCATATAAGATTTGAAAAGTACCTAAATCCCATCGAGTACCTATGGCTTTTGAAATTTATTATACAAAATTTGGAGAAAGCGAAATAAATCTGTCAAAATTTACTTAAATAAATAAAAAATTGTAAGCGATAATTAACAAAATTCTTACTAAAGTAAATTACATTTATACATACAAACACAAGATCATTCCACACACGTTTTCACTTTCGAACGTTCAAAATTTTATTTTATACAAATTAATTTCAAAACAGAGCACGTAAACATACAAACGAAAATAATAAGAAACAAAATTGCTAATTAAACAATAACTAATTTGATAATTAATTAAGATTGATGAACACTTTTCAGATAGTTACTTTTTAGTAGTAAAATGACGAAAGGTTACTTTGTATAGTACAATTACGATTTTAATTCTTAAGCTTAATGCTTTTAAAGAGTCGAGTCTTTCCATTTGTTGCTTATAGGCCAGTCAACTCAACAATTCGCTTAGCCAGCCTAGTCCATGGATATGACGTAGAGACCACCCAGGGTAACCACTTGCTTTATGTACAACGCATATCAAGCATCCCGAATGAACGTACCAGAAAACAAATCGGGGACAATAGACTGATGTGGGTTGATGAACTGTTGTCGCAATGAACGCTGGGACGTTTAATAGAATGTTTCAAGTTTATTTTGCTCTTTTTTAACTTCCAAATTTTACTATAAAAGTAGTTTCAATAGCAATATAACAACGTTTTATTATTCTTTAAATACTTATATTCACGTTATTTCTTAAGTTTAAACATGTAATGTGCCGAGCTTTATTCGTGTTCCTAAAATATATTAAAGAAATATTAAACATGTTTTTTTATGAGGAACCTTTACAAGGAATCTTAAATCTTTGCGCGGGTAATGCGAATATTTTACATTTATCTTTGTTTTGTTAATCATAAATAGGATATCAACTTGCAGATTATATGACTCAAAAGAGACATTATTATCACGTGAGGTCTTTAACCAATCACCTGGCATTACAACAGAAGTCTTAGAGAGAGAGTGATTTATAAGTTCGTGCTGTGGCCGCTGTATGACATCTTCATCACTCTGCATGGGGCCATGTTAGAGTAAGCAGTGACATCTTTTTCCTTGTTTGACATAACTAAAGATAGATATAACGATATTCAGAAAAGAATGGTGTTTTTTTCTTAATATTATATCAGTTTAATTGCTTTACCTTCTTCAATATATCTGTTACTAACGGACTTTATAACTGTAAATAAATAAATATACGCAAATATAGTGATAAAAATATAATTCCTTGTTAAAATATGTACAGTTTTAATTAGAAATCAATTCCAAAAGGAAAGAATTTATTATTATAAGAATTTAAATAATTTAGCAATTTAACCACTAATTTTTTGGTTTATAGGAGCTTAATGGCCCTGTAATTAAAGCAAAATATTTTCCACGTGTATTTTAGATCCCTTAGATTTGGATACCTTTCGTACAAGCTACCCGATTCAACTTAGTACTCCGTTCCAGTACAACGGGGAAGGTCAAAAGTCACCGGGTTAATTAGTGACCCCGAGGCGGGAAAGGATGGTGGATTGGTGTCACGACCCTTCCTCCTGCACAATTTAGTGTAACAACATAACCTTTCTGTACCACATTTACCTCTCGGAACTGTGCAATCCATTGGAAGCGGTTAATCTACCCACAATTAGCACAACTAAGGGTGGAAAATACTCTAACAATTAAACGCTTTCCTCAGTTTACGACGATATTTAAACACTTGTATAATCGCTATAAAGATTTTTTTTTATGCAAAAATACTAAATTAAATGCTTAAAACTTGTCACCATAACGAGTTTAAAGTATATTCACCTTCTCCGCAACACTATAAAATAATACAGAGAAGTGGATTAACGTACGATCAGTTATGGCGTACGACACTCAACGATTTTAATTTAGAAAAAATATATATATTATGATAATTTTTAGCAATCAATTAACGTGTAATTGATATTTCTAGCAGCAAATCCCAAGAATTTTTATTGATAAATTAGCAGTTATCGGATTGATGATAGGAGTGCCCCCTAACGGTTGGTGACGAAACTAATTAACGAATTCCATTGTATGGGGAGTGTAAGATTACAGTCTTCTGTGGATAAGTCGAAGGCCTCATAAAGGTTTATAGATGCCTCTAAATAACTTTAATAGACGCCCCAACGCGTCGCTACTGTACACAGAACAGTAATTTTCTTATCTCAACGTGCAGTCGCTGAGTTTTTATTGTAGTTACTGCTTGACCATAATTTTTCAGTTTATCGGTTTTACCCTACCCTATGACGTCATTCATTGCAACTAGTATACTACCGATCAGTGGGCGTCCCCAGTATTCTGTAGCTTTAAGAGTACTGTTTATCATACACTTCGCTTAGGCCCGTGGTGCTAAATTGAAATAGGAATGTGGACAATCTTAACCCACAAAGGCCTCGTAAAGTGCCTACGATATACTGTTGATGTTGGGTAAATTTAGATTGCAAAAAGCATCCCTGAGATTTTTCGATCTGTTACTTCTTCCATCAACATGTTTCTTTCTTTGTTTTAGCGAAGAACCGCTCTCAATTTTGTTAAAATTATATATTTAACTTGTATTTACGAAGTGTTTTTTTAAATGTATTATACTTTATAATATATATTAATGCCAACACAGATAGGAAAATAAGTTAATTAGTATGAAATTTTATCTTCGAAAGTCGAGGAAAATTTTACTGTTAGGCCCGAGGAGAAAAATATGGTAATTTCGCTAGAGAAATTCAAAGAAAAAAATAAGATTTTAATTAAGATTTCATCTTTTACTTATTATATATAATGTAACAGGTTTAATTTATTGCTAACAATAATAAAAACTTCACAGATCCTATCATTGTTTACTATTTATATAGTTTAATATATAATTAAAATCGTATGAAAGTTAAGAAAATATATGAAGAATTCTTATATTTTATATNCTGATTTTAAAATATTTATGTTTGTATCATATTATTAAGGAATGCGGATTTACATTTTCTATCATTACAGTAACATAATTCTGACATTAAATGTAGTATCAATATTTAAAATTTTTTTATAAACACAGCATTTAATTTAAAATTGCTATTTTTAGAAAATATACATATGTCGACAAGAGAATATACCTCGTTTTGAATTAAACGCAAATTTTATTTTTATTAAACTTTGCAGTTTCTGAAATGGGAAATATGAGTTTATAAAAGTTCCCGTTATAGTGGCATTTCAAAATGGCAGTTGGCGATTGGCGCCCCTAGTGACAAAAATTAGTACTATCTTCATTAGAGTTAACGGGTAGGTGGATGCAGATACGTTTCTTAGCTGCAACTTCACCCAGTTTATCGCTTCGTGGCAACATTTCCCGCCCTTATCGTGACTCTTACCGGAACTAACCGTTGTCGTCACGTACGTCACGATCGCGCGTGACAAGTGGTTTTTATGACCCCACCACTAGGGGTGTGACTGTCACCGAGGGACGCCGAACTCTTCCTTTGCTATTGTGGATCCAGTGTTGATGACATCATTAGCATCTTATTAAGATATTACGTCCGACACATCGATGCTGCTCCTTCGACATAACATGAAATATACAGATAAAGGGGTGGAAATAGGAGTTTAAAAGCATAAACCGGCCGTTAATACTATTTTTAAGTGAACAATCGATACAAAAAATAGCAAAAGAGTATGCTTTTACCGCATGACTAGCGGCTAAACAATCGTTCGCCTTCCTGACATAAGAATCAAGGAGACTGCTTGGCGCCCCACATATCGTTACGTTTTGCACAAATAATATTCTCGGAAATTTTCATAGTAATACATTATAAAGTAAATAATATAATAAGTAAACTTTATTAAGTTTATTTAATTAAAAAAAATTAATAGTTAGAAGTATAGTTACAATGAGTGCGACTTCAGGAGTTTTTCATTTAGATTTGTAATTCACAAATCTAGTACAAATAATAAATACCGAATTGCAACTTCGTACCGGAATAAAACTGCAATAAAAGTGTTAGGGGATGTGCTTTCTAATTATTTAATTTGCATCACGTACAAATAAGCTAGAGAATCCTTGTCCAGATAGGGCAAAGGGAGCTGCCCTGGCAGGGACCTGGCGTGTACATCGGTACTTCCACGCCCCTTCAGCGTCTCCTCACGCGATGGGGGCAACCATCTCTCCATTAGGCCTAACACCAACCTCATCGCTGAGACCACACATTGAGAAGTCCCGATTTTGCTGTAGGCCAAATGCCGTGCCCTGCTGCCTGACATGTTGATTACACGGCCTGGCTGTGAGCGATGTATTGAGGGGAACATACATCTTCATCGTGAGTAAAGGGACCTTTAGGAACAGAGAGGTGTGAGATAATCTGGAGGGAACTTCGGAAAACAGAGAGGGTAACGACTACCGAACGAAACCATTTTCATTTATGTGATGAGCATCGATTATTTATCATTACAGATTCTAAATACGTAAATATTCTCTTTAATATATTCATTCAGCATTACAATCAATATAATGCACACATGCCGAATCTGGGATATCAATCAAGTGTCATTAGAATGCGATCATTTTTAACTAGAAAATAGTTCTATATATCAGGAATGCAAAGCAGCGATAAAGTCTGTAGAAAGACATTGGACATGCGAATGGCGTACAGAAACTGGAATCACTTGTTGATAATTGGACACAAAATTATCTACGGCTAATCTTCGCTATAAAAAGGGTTATGAGCTGTTTCGCTCGAACTGAGTTGTTTCGAACGTTCAAATGATGATATATACTAATTAATAAGTTAGGTCTTGGTACAGATATATGAAGTCAGAATATAAGAAATTCTTTCTTCGAAACGACACACTTCTAAAGTAACAATTAAACAGTTGTAATTTTTTAATGAATGTTAAAACATTCCAAATCGAAGTTCCAGTAACTGTGTACTTCTGTAAATACCCAGCTAATATAACACCGCCTCTTCAATTCCACCATCCCCTTTCTTCACCCCCCTTTTAAACAACCCACCTGAAATTCCAGGACCCATTTATCTCACCAGACTGATTAAGTGTGACGATAATACCCAGTCACTGAGGCACGGGTAGCGTTTTATGACCTGCTCCCGAATGTTTGTCATGTGACCTTGGAGGTCACATGGCCCCGGATCTGATGGGTTAGTAACGGAGAGTGAAGTCGTATATTAATAAATTTTAATTATATTCTGCAATTATGTTTATAAAGGAATAAATAATATCATAATAGTAGTTTACGACAATAAGATTCGAATGACCTCTTAAGGGTGTAAAATAAATGAAATGTTTCTCAAACAACAGGTTCACCTTCAACCTGAATATCCATACCTTTTCTCACGCATACAACAGACAATGGCAACATTGGTGGGCAACCATCTAGAAGACCAAAGTCCGGCAGCTAAGTGTGCTGTACCTCCCATACAATCATTCCCCTACAACTTTTCATACATCTAAGTTTCACAATGTCAGGCTTAAGACGACAGCCACTGAATGGTTGCCATAGTTGTTTGCCTCCTCTTCACATGGATTAGTAGAGATCGCTCCCCCGCTAACATTACTAATGATCGCAGCTATACTTCTTACTCGCTATTCACTTGTATCATGACACGGATTCCTGAGGTGAGGACACAGTCTATGGAAACCATGACAATAGATTTAAGGTTGGGCAACAATAGCTCTACAAGCTAACCGGTGTTACTTCCAGACAGCATGTCCTCTTAAAAACTTGAAGGATTTCTTTTCGACTAAGCTACGTCTTGTGTCACCATTATTAATAATACATTTATACTATGCTTGATATGAAAATAACACAATACATTTATATTATATAATGATTTTAAGCCATTCAATCATTTGTTATGTATAAAATTTGTTTTTAGTTTTATTTTAGTATTAATTTATTTATCAAAGAAATCTAAACAAAAATGTTAGTGTTTATGTATTAAATAACTTATAAATTATTTAAAAGTATTAAAAATATTTATTACAAAAGTAAATCTGATAGAATACAGAAAATGATGATAAGAATATATCTCCTGCGGACTATGAATTTGTAAGATTGTCTAAGCAGTTACAACGCGGACTATAATGAAATCGTCGTAACAGGAGAGGAACTCTATGTCGACGTAGAAGAATGGCATAATCAATATATACAAAATGTCCTTTCTTCTATCAAAGCAACATTTGTCTTCACAAATTAGCATCTCCTCCGATTCTCTCTAATTAGCACTTCACGTAATTTTGGATTCCGTATTCTTTTCTGAAGGAACCTAATGTTTATTTAGTCTTAAATAACCTGAAGCGTGATTGGAGTGTTTCGAAAATCTTTATTAATTCACAAATAAAGACTACGAACAGGTATGAACAGTTTTCTTGACTTTGCAGATTTTACACTTTACTTGACAGCACCAATGGAATGTGCACGCACATCTTTGAAAGTCTTCCCTAACTTCTGTGACATATCCTCTGTTGCAACACATTAGATCACAACCATCCACTCCTATAGAAGTATCGTTACATGTCCTTCCTTTAGTTCCAACGATACCTAATTTAGGATTTGGCACACAGAAATCCGGAGATGCCTCAAAATACACCAGATCCTTTCTGGACGGTAGTTTATGTTCGGGATTATAAGGCTTGAGTTGAAATCTATATTTTCTTTTGTATCTGCGAAAGTTTCCTTGATTACTAACTAGTACTCTAGAAGCACCATCGAATCGATCTTTCAGATTGTTTCCTACATCTCTGAATAAAGGTAGCCTCATCCAACAAGTTTTTACTGTACAGCTACCTGACATTCCGTGACACTTGCATTCTCTTCTCATCTCTGCAGACACATGCTAAATAAAAGTTTTATAGCGTTAATTAATTCACGAAACACATCACAAAATATTCAATATTATCAACAGTACGCAACCATTATAATTTTCTTAAATTATATAAATACAGTACAGTATTTTAAGAGACTAAATTAAATAGAAAGATAAGCTTTGAACAACAAACTACTACATTTTTTCTTCTTAGGTTATTAATAATTCGTAAACTGATAAAACAGAACTAAACTAAATAAGAGATATATAGTATATTTATATACTTAAACTGATAATTTATATAATTACTGAAAAAAGTAAATAATTTATCATGCATTTTTACTAATGAATATTACCAGAATCCTTGCATAAGATAACGTTCACTGGTATTAATTATAAAATATTTTAAAATTTAATAATGCCTTTTATTAAAAACCTTATTTAAGCTCTTTATGTAGATTCTATAGAATTGTATTGTCAAATTTAATTAAATATATTTACCATTCGTCCCGCTTCGTTATTATGTAAGTTCATAATATATCGTAGATCTCTTCCTCTTTCCGCTGCATCCACAAAAGCTCTCGCAAACTTGTAACCAAAATCCACATTGTCATTGCAACCTCCCCATTCCCAGTCGGCACCAGTAGGACCCCGATGTCGATAATCGCATGTGCAAGTCTCCATCAAACCTTCGCTGCATGCACGAGAAACTGCATGCGTTACACCCGCACTCGTAATGGCATATACAAAAGCAGTTTCACGACAACCTGTAAAGTAATATGCATAATTAAACAACAAAATAGAAATACAATACAAAAATATAATGAGAATGTACACGGAACTTGTGTATTTTACGACAGAGACACGAGTTGCGTATGCACTACGTGATTTTTATTCAAAATTTTATGTTCATTTCTAGATTTTCATAGCTCAAAATGAAAAGATTATTTTAAAACATACAAAAAAAAAAAAAACTATTGCTAGCATTTTGAAAAATAAATATTAGATGGAATTTTACATTATTTTTCATATTTTTAACATCTGTATATAAAATTCTAACAAATTCCCAGACACATTAGAATATAACAGGCCTAATATTTTGAAAGACTATACGATATCTATTCAATCAGAAGTTACATAAAACTGATTTTATACAGAAAAATTTGCTATTGATTTTGCTATTAGAGTATGAAGACTACTGTTAAAAAAATGTAAGTAAAAAACTAAGTTTATCTAAAAATAAATTGTATTGGATAAATTTATCATTTACCGCCGTTACAAAGGGAAGTAAACGATGCCAAGCCGAATCGATTTACAGAATAATTTATAAACATTTATAATTTCTAAACCTATTATAAAAACACTCATACAAACTTTAAATTGTTTTAAATTCTAAGAAAATGAACCTCTATTTTGCTTATTGAAAACAGGGGAAAAAAGAATACAAAGCCTACAATTTGTGGTATCCGCTGAGGTGTTTTGTGAGGTGTGAAAATTGCTGCAATTCCTTCATTGAAACCGTTAATATCAGCGATGACTTAAAATATCCGGCATCTAGACACTTATCATGAGTCATCTTACACCCACACAATAAGGTAATTTTTTATGGATTACTTCTTAATTCGTTTACTAATATAGATATTTACGAAAATAGAAGATTGTTTTTGTCATGATATATTTCAATTATGTCTCTCCTAGACTTTATAAAACTATTACTTGTTATTGAACTTGCACTAAATTTATGTTTCAATAATTAAATTATAGTATTAATTTATTAAAATGTTAATATTAAAAAATATTTTTAAAGAAAAGAATGATTAAATAACATAAGTTTATAATAAACAAAACCAGTTTATGATTATAGAAATCATTCCTAAAATGTAATTATACAGTATATATAAAGACATGTTGCTCAAGCTTCTTAAATAATGAATAAATTTGTGATGAGTTAATTTGTTTCTTCCTAATATAAATCTACCATCGCGTCTAGTTATAAATGCTTTCTAAGAACACACCGAATTATGATCAAGTTTAACTACTTTTGATGATTTCATCATTATTCAAGTCAGGACACGTTATTTTGATGTCGAACGAAGTCAAAATTCTGTACGAAGCTAAAAATTATTCGAAATAAATCACGTTTTTTTCGTATCCCATCTTTGAATCCGATATAAAAATTAAAAATTCGTTAGAGGTCGCTTTTAAGCAATTAAACCTAATTGGACGGCACAAAGTTTAAAATTTTCATCTACCAATCGGATTCAACTATTCTTAAAGGATTTAAATTTTAAATTTTCAAACTCTTAATTGAATTTAATTGTTTAGATTAGATGTCTAAATAATGTATTTATCAATTTAAAAATATTGCCATACATTTTAGAATTTATAATTAAATTATATTGTTTTCTATATAAAAAAAAAGTTCAAATAATAATGATGCTTATCTATAGAATCATTACTATATTATTACGCTATTAATGTACATATCATTAGAATAATGTGTTAATCTGTTATATGAAATTTTTATATAAGTAATCAAAACATTAATATTTAAAAATATTTTTTAATACTTTGTGTTAAAATCCCTACTAAATATAGCGTTAGAGATGTTAGAGATTGCCGATATTAAACGAAATTTTCTAACAATTCTTACAAAATCACGTTCTTTTTTGAAAGCTTTTTAAAANTGTCTTAACGAAATGTAATTATAGTAACGGCTATTTATTCTTTAAATATTCTTTAAATAAAAGACCTACAAATTTAATAAAGGATAATCTCTTCAGAAAATGAAAACTTTAATTATTTTACACATATAAATGAAAAAAATGAATTTTTTAATGATTATTTTAATAATTTCAGAATAAAATGGTGAAAAACTGTTAGAAACAGTCCAATGAAACATGAAAGTTTGTGGTTTTAAGCAATTCGTTGTACCAACTTTCTCAAAATTCAAGTAACCAAGTAATAAATTTTACGATTCGTATCTAAAGATAGTAAAATTTTAGGCTGTTCTTCGAAGTATTTATATTCTTAATTTACTTCAAAGGACATAAATATCAACATTCATAAATATTACTATGACTTCTACGAGAGCTTTTCTTTATGCTTTTATTCCCATTTATAGCCTATTTAGTTTCGTTTTTGGTGTGTCGAGTGTTATCGTAACGGCGATAAACTAATAAAATTGTATATAATTTACACAGGAACTAAAGCAAAAAGTTATTACCATGGTAAGTATTTTATTACAATTTTTCATTACGGGCTACAATAGTTTTAAAAGAAATCATAAATAAAAGAAAAGAGCAATTTGTGAAATCATCAGACTGTGACTTGGGGAATTCCCCGACCCAACCTATTCAGAACTTTCTACATGTCTATTGTTAACTAAACATATTTTACCTGAGTTATTGATAGGCAATAAACAAATTTTAACAATAAAAATTATAACAACAGATTCATTGCCAATTTAAATGGAAAAAAGTTATCATCTATCCCTTAATTTTCTACTATGCATAGTTTTTAAATATTTAATATTAAAATAAGTAAATTATTACAGGTTATTATACATAATGTATTAAAATAGTATTAAATTTAATAAATGTAAAAAAGATTTTACTTTAAAAAGTCCTTTACTTTACTTTAATAATATATTGATAAATAAAACACATTGCAGAAAGTTAGGATAAATAAAATATGACTTTAACGCAATCTGTTTAAATTTAAAATATTAAATTCTGTATATTGATATGACAAATTAAAACTTAATTTTCTCCTCTTTATAAACGTTAAAGAGTTTCACGCGGACGGAACTAAACTGCACTTACCGGAAAGTATCTTGCGGAATTCACAATTCTTAACCCCACTGTAATTTTGGCCACACAAGTCTTGACACCTTTTGATGAATTACTGTCGTTTTAGTAATTGTCGTTGAGCACTCGAAGCGGGTAAACACCCAAAGAACAGCACAAGGAAACAGGAGGAGTTAAACCAAAAGAAGAGGAATAATCTTGTTAACTAGTATGGTTGACTCTAAAGAATTGTTCCGTGAAAAGTCAGTTGAGGGGATTTTAACCGTAAATCCGAGAAAATTAACTTACAAATAGAGACGCCAACACTTTACCAAACTTTATAAATACAAGAGAAATAAATGGGAATATTAAAAACTAATATTTTAATCTTTTATCGACAATTGAACAGCTAAATTATTTAGTGATTCCGTTCATAAACCCATCGAGTCCATGTAGCGAGGTGCATTTTAATTAAGAGATAAATTCCCTAGGGGGGATGCAGCACAAATCGCTGCGTGAGGTCGTTCGACGATCACGCAGAACCTGTCACTTATCCATGACGTTGATATATTGTTGTAAATAATTATAGACCTAACATGCCATGGTTACTCCACATCTCTTTGCCTGATGTCTTTATAGTGATGTAAGCCAATCTTTGTGAGTAGGCTTACATTATTTACCGGTGACAATTCACACATTGTGACTATCACGTCAACTGGTTTTGTCTATAAGAAAAATCGCTTCGTTTAAAATAGTTACATTCTTATATTAATATATTTTTAGAAAATCAGCCAATCAAAAGGTGAGAGAAAAATTTCGGATGCATCAAAGACTAAAACTAAAAAATTTCCGTAATGCTTTTCATCCCGAAGAATGGAATTCCGAGCCAATTAAGGTCCAGGAACAGAACAAATCAGTTAAAAGTTCGACGACAATAGAAAAAACAACTGGAGATTTCTTTTCATTAGTGTCATCTCGTGAAAGCAAATGGCAGCCAAGTTACAATTCTCAATTTCCTGTGTTATAGTTCGCGGCCAAGGAATACGTAGTCCCTAACAAATTACAGGTACCAGCGGTGCCTGTAATCCCATTGTTTCCTCCCTTATTACCGATAAAACGGGTGTCTGGAGTGCCCGAGGTGCCGCTGGACTTCGGGTTGGGTGGGCCACATTGCTACTACCTTCATTGCTTAGGTGAAGAAATGAAGCTGTTCTACCGACAAAGCAAGAATAGAGTTTACAGGACTTTCCTCCCGGGAACCCTCTTCATGCCTCAGGTGAAGATGGACACTTGACCGTATAATTCCTGCGTTCCGCTGAGTGGGATAATTGTACAACAACATAGCTCCTATTAAAGCCTAAACGCATAGCTTTACGTCACGTTGCCTGTAACTCCGCTCAATCACATCGGGAATTTAGGGAAAAACATTCTATCATTGATAGATTGGACGGAAAAACAGGCAAAGAAGTAAGGAACCACAATTATCTTACAGCAAATTACTTTTAAAAATACCTTTTAATAAATAGCCCATAGTTTATTATATATGTTTCATTTTTCACATCAAATTTACTTTAAAAAGTAAATTTAAATTTAATAAATTCATTACTTAATACTAATTCCCAATTTTAAATTAACATATATGGTTATTTAACATTTATTAATAAATATTTTAGAATTTCATTTATAATATTTGAATAATTTAAATTTAAACTTTTAAATGAACACGTGGGATTAATTTATCTTTCTTGTAAATGAATTGCTTTAGGCGTTTTATCCTCGAGCCTTACTGATATACATTAAAAATATAGTCCTTAATGTAAAATCGGATTGTTACGATACATTTATTGTTACTTGAGGCAAGGTTTATTATCTTTAATTACGTAAAATGTTTGATTGTTTGCCACCTTTAAAATTTTTTTACCTTTAAAATTTAGTACTTTGTGATTTAAATCCAAAATATATTTCGAAAAGCGAATGTGAAATTTATACATTTATACCGGCTAAGAAAAAATAGTGTTAATAACAATAATAATAATAATTTAGAAGCTCAGAATTTCAAATAAAAAATAGGAAAAAGTCTCGGAAGAAAATAAAAGGAAATTTTCCTAGAATACAGATCAAATCCTCGAAATTTAGTCAATTGAACCAACTACTTAAAGAGGAAGAAATGAAAAAGAATTCAACTCTAATTCTATCCAAGCCATAAATTTTAATGGTCATGTATCTTAAAAGTTAGTTCGAGACCAAAAACTCTTATCTTCAACGATTTGTTTATACAACATATCCATGTCCATCTATTTGTTTATATATTTAAGTTTATACTTATTTGCATATCTACAGTATAGAAAAGAAGAGTCCTTTTATAAATTTTACGTATTTCTGAAGTAGAAATAACCTGTATAAAACACATATTTATAAACAATTTACGAAAGAGAAAATAATATATAGAAAATGAAATTTAATGTGTACATTGTAAAATTTTCCTATCTTACTTTTTCGTCTTACAGTTTTCAATATTTATTTTATATAAAAAAATGAAATTATTTGAGAAGGACATATTTTAATTTGGCAATTGACCAATACAGTAATGCTACTTAATTTTTTTTAAAACTCTGTCTATAATTAATATAAAAATTCATTAATAAAACCTTCTGTCGCGGAATTGGTAATTACATTCATGTAAGGCCATTTTAAGTCCTTTACTAATGGCAAGTAAAACTCCTGGATTTTCTTGCACCAATCTCTCTTGTTTCCGACGTAATGGCACATTTGTATCGCCCGATGATATCGCGTTGTGATGAGATTCCAATACCAAATTGCTAGGTTCTTCCGAATCTACAACACTCCTAAAAAATTATAAAATAAAAATTCAAAATAACCTTTCTTGTCAAATGAAATTCGTTAAATTATAAAGTAATTTAAAACTAGTTTTTGACATATATACGATTTATTTATTTATTTTTTCTTATTGACATAAATTAATGTTTATTATATTTCCAGTTACATTATAATTAACTTATCTAGCCATTACTAAATGAAGGTCTTCACTTTTTTTCTTTACTGATTTCTTGTTTAACCTTTGAAAATCGAGTGTTGTAACATTATAAAATCTTAACGAATTCTTACATAAATATGGAATCTAACTATAATGCAAAGACGCAATTGTATATAATCATCTTTGAACAAAATATACGTTGTTCTGTTTAAAATAAGACTTCGAACGCATCTCATAATTCAATATACAAAGCACTCACCAAACTCACTCGACATTCTCTACTTTCGTGATTATACCTCGTTTCTTTTTTTTTGTAAAACAAAAGTAACTTGCTCATTTGGTAGGAAGTTGGTCGGCAGAAATGAGACATATAATATGATGAGTTCTATTTTTAACTTTTATTGGGGAGAAAACACGAATATCCGTTCTATAAAGTGCTTGAAAGTGAGTTTTTTTCCAGCTAAAAGTGTATACATATAAAGCTCATTATATGTTATAATTTTCTTTATTAATTTATTCTATAGATAATTAAGCAGTTTTTGATAGATTCGTGAGCTTAAAAATTATATCTCGAAGCGGAAATTAATTAGATTTAATTGATAAGATCTCGGAATATGTTTAAATTTTTAATGAGTTAATTCATATTAATTAGTTAGGCGTGTTTAAACGCGTTAACCATTACGTTAAAGGTGGGTTAATTTTATTCACAAATGACTTAATTCTAATTCAGAAACTTCAGAAATTTAGTTCAAGTTCAGAGAGTTGGAAATCAATATCATTTTAAGAATAAAATCATTAAAAAACTATTAAGTTAGATCAATTTCAGCAAACTTTCTACGCCGAAGCAGCCATTGTTTTATATTAATTTTTAATGGTTCTAAATTAATTTTTAAAAAGTTTTATATAAATAGAGGATGAGAAAGGATTTATTTAGGATAAGAATCCTAACTTACCACCATCTGGGTCCTCTACCTTTACTCCTTCCTCGACTGGCTTTGCCTCTGTTATCTGTTTCAATGGGAGCTAAGAACACCAAGAGCAATAAGATGGTGATGAGGAGGCGGAGAGAGCTACATGCCATGACTGGACACAGATAAGATCTTTTCCTTCACTTGTCTACCCAAAGGACGATGAGGAGCGCTACCTGGTGGCCAGGTGTCCCACGTGACTAGGACGGAAGTGGCCAGCTACTCCAGTCACCAACCGATCAGCGAATAATTGCAATTTGAATGGTGTTAGGCAGTCTTAAGACAGTTTGTTATTTGGAATTTTTAGAAAGGCAACGCCGTCTGTCGGTTTTTGTCGGGACTTCGATAATTGGAAAGTGTTGTTACTGTTGTAAAGAGGGGTTGGGTGAATTCTGGAATAAGGGCAATCAGCAATGGGTTTATTGGAAGAAGTGCGGTTTGCAAAGAGACAGTGCGGTGAGTCAAGGCGATCTTGCATATGTTTGAACTCGCCGATCTGAACTGTTCAATCTTCTACTTTCTTTCAATACGTATACTATTTACAAAGTTATAAACTCGTTTTGTTTAATTGTTCTTCGACGATTTTAAATATTCATCGTAAATTCTAGTCTTGTTCTTGAAAAGTACTTCATATGGATCCAATTAACGGTTCTCAAGCCATTAAAAATCCACTTAAATATCACGAAATTATACTATTATAATTAAGAACGTTCTAATTAGCTCTTAAATTGGACTTTACCATAATAAATTCTTAAATACACTTCAGTTTTACATTAAAATTCTTGTCTTATTTTAAAGTTTTAATCAGATATATCTGCAAAATTGTTTACTTTTATGATTACCCAAATTATTTTAAAGCCAAAGCTTAACGAGAAATGTGCATTTTAAAATTATTGGCTAAATATTGATTAAACCATTTCACTTTTATCAATAACCATGTATAATTGTACAGATTTAAAAAGATAGACTGTATTGGATAATATTAATAATCATCATCTTACACAACGATGGATAATTTATGTAAAAAATAATATAAATAGATTGTAGCAAGATTTAAATTTCAAATAAACTTGAAATTATGTTAATAAAATGTATTTAAAGCTTATTAAAAACATATTTTTAATTTTATTAGGCTATATAAAGCCTATATTTATTAGATTTATCAAAGGTTAATTTGCATTTTATTTAATCAATTTTCGAGAATAAATAGCGATCAATTTGTTTAATTGAGCGTAATTTTTAAATAGATATTTATTGAATTATACATCTTTTATTAATTAAGCGATTTTTTTACTGTTTAATGCCTACATTATGGTCAGTTGCAATGTCATTTTGTAATTTTTCTGCTTGAAATTTTAGACTTTTATGTGCTTAATGAGTTCATGTCGAAACTACAAATAAGCAGAAGTAAGTTACTTCGTAACTGGCGTATATGATTACAAACTCGTTACTCATTTATTAACTTAAAAAATTGAAGTTTTTCAAGAAATTTTAGTTGATAAATTAGAATGTCATAAAACAAACAAACAAACAAACTTTTTATTGTCTCAATTAATTTTCTTAATTATCTTTTAAATAACTCAAAATTCTCACTTCGTAATTTACTTTTTTTATGTGTGTGGGGGTTTGTGAGAATATGAACTGGTTGAAACCATTAAAATCGTTATGATAATGATGAAAAACGTTATTACTAGACGGTCAAATAGGAACATTTATCCATTAAAAAAAGAGAGGAAGTCAAATAAGTTGTCCACAACATCCTGTAAGAAGACTCCCTTTCTCTATGTACAATCAACCCGTCACCAAATAACCGGGGCAGGACTTCGTGACAAAAGTCAATAGGCGTCAGCTCCAGATTGTCTTGATTACCTTTGGTGGAGCATATAAGATTTGAAAAGTACCTAAATCCCATCGAGTACCTATGGCTTTTGAAATTTATTATACAAAATTTGGAGAAAGCGAAATAAATCTGTCAAAATTTACTTAAATAAATAAAAAATTGTAAGCGATAATTAACAAAATTCTTACTAAAGTAAATTACATTTATACATACAAACACAAGATCATTCCACACACGTTTTCACTTTCGAACGTTCAAAATTTTATTTTATACAAATTAATTTCAAAACAGAGCACGTAAACATACAAACGAAAATAATAAGAAACAAAATTGCTAATTAAACAATAACTAATTTGATAATTAATTAAGATTGATGAACACTTTTCAGATAGTTACTTTTTAGTAGTAAAATGACGAAAGGTTACTTTGTATAGTACAATTACGATTTTAATTCTTAAGCTTAATGCTTTTAAAGAGTCGAGTCTTTCCATTTGTTGCTTATAGGCCAGTCAACTCAACAATTCGCTTAGCCAGCCTAGTCCATGGATATGACGTAGAGACCACCCAGGGTAACCACTTGCTTTATGTACAACGCATATCAAGCATCCCGAATGAACGTACCAGAAAACAAATCGGGGACAATAGACTGATGTGGGTTGATGAACTGTTGTCGCAATGAACGCTGGGACGTTTAATAGAATGTTTCAAGTTTATTTTGCTCTTTTTTAACTTCCAAATTTTACTATAAAAGTAGTTTCAATAGCAATATAACAACGTTTTATTATTCTTTAAATACTTATATTCACGTTATTTCTTAAGTTTAAACATGTAATGTGCCGAGCTTTATTCGTGTTCCTAAAATATATTAAAGAAATATTAAACATGTTTTTTTATGAGGAACCTTTACAAGGAATCTTAAATCTTTGCGCGGGTAATGCGAATATTTTACATTTATCTTTGTTTTGTTAATCATAAATAGGATATCAACTTGCAGATTATATGACTCAAAAGAGACATTATTATCACGTGAGGTCTTTAACCAATCACCTGACATTACAACAGAAGTCTTAGAGAGAGAGTGATTTATAAGTTCGTGCTGTGGCCGCTGTATGACATCTTCATCACTCTGCATGGGGCCATGTTAGAGTAAGCAGTGACATCTTTTTCCTTGTTTGACATAACTAAAGATAGATATAACGATATTCAGAAAAGAATGGTGTTTTTTTCTTAATATTATATCAGTTTAATTGCTTTACCTTCTTCAATATATCTGTTACTAACGGACTTTATAACTGTAAATAAATAAATATACGCAAATATAGTGATAAAAATATAATTCCTTGTTAAAATATGTACAGTTTTAATTAGAAATCAATTCCAAAAGGAAAGAATTTATTATTATAAGAATTTAAATAATTTAGCAATTTAACCACTAATTTTTTGGTTTATAGGAGCTTAATGGCCCTGTAATTAAAGCAAAATATTTTCCACGTGTATTTTAGATCCCTTAGATTTGGATACCTTTCGTACAAGCTACCCGATTCAACTTAGTACTCCGTTCCAGTACAACGGGGAAGGTCAAAAGTCACCGGGTTAATTAGTGACCCCGAGGCGGGAAAGGATGGTGGATTGGTGTCACGACCCTTCCTCCTGCACAATTTAGTGTAACAACATAACCTTTCTGTACCACATTTACCTCTCGGAACTGTGCAATCCATTGGAAGCGGTTAATCTACCCACAATTAGCACAACTAAGGGTGGAAAATACTCTAACAATTAAACGCTTTCCTCAGTTTACGACGATATTTAAACACTTGTATAATCGCTATAAAGATTTTTTTTTATGCAAAAATACTAAATTAAATGCTTAAAACTTGTCACCATAACGAGTTTAAAGTATATTCACCTTCTCCGCAACACTATAAAATAATACAGAGAAGTGGATTAACGTACGATCAGTTATGGCGTACGACACTCAACGATTTTAATTTAGAAAAAATATATATATTATGATAATTTTTAGCAATCAATTAACGTGTAATTGATATTTCTAGCAGCAAATCCCAAGAATTTTTATTGATAAATTAGCAGTTATCGGATTGATGATAGGAGTGCCCCCTAACGGTTGGTGACGAAACTAATTAACGAATTCCATTGTATGGGGAGTGTAAGATTACAGTCTTCTGTGGATAAGTCGAAGGCCTCATAAAGGTTTATAGATGCCTCTAAATAACTTTAATAGACGCCCCAACGCGTCGCTACTGTACACAGAACAGTAATTTTCTTATCTCAACGTGCAGTCGCTGAGTTTTTATTGTAGTTACTGCTTGACCATAATTTTTCAGTTTATCGGTTTTACCCTACCCTATGACGTCATTCATTGCAACTAGTATACTACCGATCAGTGGGCGTCCCCAGTATTCTGTAGCTTTAAGAGTACTGTTTATCATACACTTCGCTTAGGCCCGTGGTGCTAAATTGAAATAGGAATGTGGACAATCTTAACCCACAAAGGCCTCGTAAAGTGCCTACGATATACTGTTGATGTTGGGTAAATTTAGATTGCAAAAAGCATCCCTGAGATTTTTCGATCTGTTACTTCTTCCATCAACATGTTTCTTTCTTTGTTTTAGCGAAGAACCGCTCTCAATTTTGTTAAAATTATATATTTAACTTGTATTTACGAAGTGTTTTTTTTAAATGTATTATACTTTATAATATATATTAATGCCAACACAGATAGGAAAATAAGTTAATTAGTATGAAATTTTATCTTCGAAAGTCGAGGAAAATTTTACTGTTAGGCCCGAGGAGAAAAATATGGTAATTTCNTGATTATCCTGTTAATATTAAACGTAATGAGGGTTATTTTATAATAAATTTTAAAATATTTCACACAAAACAATTAGCTTAAAATATAAAATAGATAATGGAATAATGTCTTAACGAAATGTAATTATAGTAACGGCTATTTATTCTTTAAATATTCTTTAAATAAAAGACCTACAAATTTAATAAAGGATAATCTCTTCAGAAAATGAAAACTTTAATTATTTTACACATATAAATGAAAAAAATGAATTTTTTAATGATTATTTTAATAATTTCAGAATAAAATGGTGAAAAACTGTTAGAAACAGTCCAATGAAACATGAAAGTTTGTGGTTTTAAGCAATTCGTTGTACCAACTTTCTCAAAATTCAAGTAACCAAGTAATAAATTTTACGATTCGTATCTAAAGATAGTAAAATTTTAGGCTGTTCTTCGAAGTATTTATATTCTTAATTTACTTCAAAGGACATAAATATCAACATTCATAAATATTACTATGACTTCTACGAGAGCTTTTCTTTATGCTTTTATTCCCATTTATAGCCTATTTAGTTTCGTTTTTGGTGTGTCGAGTGTTATCGTAACGGCGATAAACTAATAAAATTGTATATAATTTACACAGG